CAAGCATATCAACATCCCCCGTGGGATCCCCTTGATCCAAATGTGGTTGAGGCAATATGACGAGTCCAGCTTCAGACACTGAACATAATTGCAAGAGAATACAAGCTTAGAAAATTCTTATTTTGTCAACCAAAAAATTAATTTCATCACATATGTGTAAAATGACATACTGGCATTACTGGCATCAGCATCTCCAGATGCAACAGCTTCAGCCGCCTGGCTCAAAGCTATAGCACATGCTTCGGCTGATTTGAAATTTAATATGTTACCATCATCCATATTGTCTACAATCTCAGGACCTGCTTTTCTATCTTCCATTTCCCTAACCTCGCAAAGATCTCTGCTTCCAGAACTATCAACTTTCTCATCAGCCCAAGTAACAGAGCCAGTAAATTTCTTTGCACCAGAAGTTTTAAGAGAGGGTTTGAGTGTTGATTCACCCGGTTTAGCTACTTTGTCAGACTCAGATTTTTCTTCAGCTTCAGCAGTAATTGTAATGGAACTGGTTTGACAGGAATTAGAAGGTGAAGACAGATCTTGACTGCTAAGCTCATCTTTTATGGCTCCTTTATTTTTATCTGCTTTTACCTTCCTTGATGTCTTCCTAGAATCGACCTTTCTAGTGGCAGAAGATTGATCCTTAGAGCTTTTCTGAGATACTTTTTCTTTCTGTTTCTGTATTTTTGCATTGGAAGAAGTGCCTGTCAAACCTGAGGGACTTTTTGAAATGCTATACTCATCTTGAGTGATTATGATGGTGCTTGTGAAGTTCATGTCATTGATGAAAGACTCTTGTTTACTACTTTGTTTAGTAGTGTTAACTTTTGAACCTGCAGCACATAAATAAAGCTCACTCACATACCTTTTTGACAAATATTGAAAGGAAAGGAAAATAGAACACTTAAATCAAGAACAGATGGTAGTGGCAAAAGAGTAAGAATGCCATGAATAATGTAAATCTGGAAAGAAGCTTCAAGATGGCAGTAAAGGAAGGAAATAGAAGCTTCAATTATCAGAGATTTCACATTTTAGGACCCAAGTAAAATTGACAGAAAGCTCTACCTAATTAGCCTTTTAAGCCAGCTTATTGGATTTTGATTTTTCATTCTTGAAAAAGATATGCATAAGAGAAGTTCTAACCCAACATCAAAGTTCTAATGCAACATCTCTGCATCTTAAGTAAGAGTTTCATTAGTTGCATGCTTGTCAACAATATGAATTGAATATAACGACTACAAGATTGACTATAAGTCCCTTGATGTCTTACTAGAATCATCCTTTCCAGCAGCAGAAGACTGACCCTTAGTGCCTTTATGAGTTCCTCGTTCTTTCGGTTTCTGTATTTTTTTATCAGAAGTAGTGCCTGTCAAGCCTGAGGGAGTTTTTGAAATGCTATATTCATCTTCAGTGATAATGGAGCTTGTGAAATCCATGTCATTGATGATAAAACCTTCTTTACTACTTTGTTTGGTATTGTTAGCTTCTAGCCCTGCAGTGCATAAATAAATCACTCTTTGGTACAAGTAAAATATATATATATATATATATATATATCAGCTAACAACATTTTTTTATCCACAAGTAATGGAGAAAAGATCTTACATCAATAACAGAGAGCAGTATCAAAAGAATAAGTCAAGCACTACGTAAATTTGGAAAGAAACTACACATGGCAGAAAAAAGGAAGGAAATAAAAACTTCAGTTCTTACAGATTTCACATTTTAGGGCCCAAAGAAAATTGAAAAGTAAGGAAAAGTAATTAAAAAAAAATCTACCCAATTAAGCCTTTCAAAGCTTGCCAGCTTAGTGGAATGAGATTTTAATTCTTACTAAATAGAGAAGCATAAGAAAACTTCTAACCCAACACTCAGCAATTGAATCACAAGTTTGATTCTCCAACAAACAGTTTTGTCAAACAATTGTTCATAATATGAGTTAAATACTACAGCACCCAAAAGATTAACCCAAAGAAAAGCATGCATACAACCAAAGATTTAGCACTAATACCTTCTTTGTGATTTTTCAATGGTAAAGTCTCTGAATTACAATCTCGTTGTGGAACATACCCTTCAATTGCATTTGAAGGACCAATCCATTGTTCAAAAGAAACCTGTCCCTCAACATTTCCCGTTTTCTCCTCAATCTTCAAATTTGAAAACCCCAAATCCCCATTCTTCCCCAAACTACCCTCAGAATCCAAACTAAAATTCTCAAACAACCTCAAAACCTCATTAAGTTTAGCTGGACTTGAAACTGAGCATCTCTCTTCTTGCAAGCTCCCAGCAAAAGTTCGACTATTAATAACACAACTAGAAGAGCAATACATATAAGTCTCATGTAGATCATAAACTTTATGCTCCTTCAAAGAAATGCGATAGCGGCCCTTTTGAGGACGATCAGATGGCAAAGAATTGGCACAAAGAGGGTAACCACAGAGGTTCGCTATCGTTCGTTCAGTAACAACATCTTCATAGTCGCTGCGCGACATTATAGATCCAGCTGCAAATAATTGATCCTCATTTTGGATGCCCTCGAGAAGAGAGAGTTGCAATTTGTAAACAGTATCTCTAACAGCAATTGATTGAACTTTCGCCATTGACGATTATCTTCACGTGCAAAAAATATGAAGTTGGTCTTGCTGCAAAATTATCTTTAATTCACTTCCTACAAAATAAAATTGAAAAAAGTTAAAGCATGTAAGAACTAACTAACATTGCACACATTTCAATACAGATAATATTAACAGATTCCATTTCTATCACCTCTGAAACAGTAAAAAGCAAAAAAAGAGCTAAAAATTTAAATTTCATTGCTTAAATTATACGATAGAAGCGTCCACATATAACAAAGTTCTAAAATTGATCAAGCCTACCCAGTAAATAGTTTCATTTTTCTATCTATTTCCAGGGAAAATCAGCAAACAGAGTGTGAAACTTGCACTGGTTCCTCAAGTAAAATATTAAAGCTTTCCAAAACTGGTTTATCAACTCGACTACTTGAGCAGAAACTACCAAACCCAGCAAAATTTTGGAGATAAATTAACAATGGGTCATCAAATCTCACTTCAATTTTAATGAATTCAAACCATCATAACTCATATAATGCCGAAATCAAAATTCCAAAAGTTTCATAGCGGTATTTTATCGAACATTATGTCTACAATACAAATTCAACCACAGTTTAATCCACCAAAATAAAAAAATAACCACACCCAGTATTTATTTACTCAAAAGACGACGGATAACAAGCTGGACAAAGACTTTCATAACTTACACTCAAATCTTCACCAAAAGAGAAGTGAAAACAGGAAACCCGCACAAGCACACTAAACCTAACAAAACTTCCCTCCAACCCAACAATCTGACAAGGTTGTTTGTTCAGATTAAGAATTCAAATCGAATTATGGCGAAAAAGATAGCTTTTTAAATTAATTTAATAATGGTGCGGTTTTGTCTTCGTTTTCTCTTCTCCTCGGCTGCTGTTCTCGAGTTTTCTCTCTCTGTGATTCAAGTGTGGATTTGTTCTGCAATACCGTATAAATAGACGATTTTTACTATAAAACGGCACCGTACTCCATAGGCGGTTTGTCTTGGCTTTTTTATACGTTGCCCAGATCTCTCGCGGGTAACTTGGGGTAAACTTCATTTTTGTCCCTAAACTTTTATTAATATTTTATTTGTATCCATGTAGTTTAAATTTCTCAGCATTACCTTTTTAGTTTCCAAAAATTTCCGATGGATGGCTTTTTAGGGTTTTAAGTGTTATTTTGAGATACTATAACAAATATTAGGATTTGGAGAAAATGAGAAAAATTAAAGAAAAGGAATACAAATATGAAAACAATTATCATTTTGTTAATTATTAATATTTAAAGAGCTTATAGCCCAACGATAGTGATTTTTTAAAATAAAAAATCAAAGATTCAAATCCTAGCAGTTTAATTATACTCAAAGTGTTAAGTGTGTAAATAAAAAAATAATAATAAAAGACGAAATTGAAACTTTTTAGGAATTATAAAGATAATGTTGAGAAATCATGTATATGTTCAATCAATTTAGATTATTGTTTTTTTTTATATTATTATCTCTCGTGTAATGTTCAATCAGTTTTATACATTTATTTTTTGAATAAAAAAATTAATTAGAACATAATTTAACTGAATCCTGTATAGGTATTTATTTCCATCTAGTAAAAAAAATCAAACTATGAAGTAAGAATATGTTATTATTATTATTATTATTTTTAATTGGAACTAATAGAACTCAACTAATTTATTCTATTATTTTCAAATTTTTATTCTTAAAAATATATAATTATACTGTTCCAATATTATATTCTAATACACATAATAGGTTTTATTGCAACATAAATATGTTAAAAACATTAGATCAATTGGAATTTAACAAAAACCAGAACCCAAACCGGGTCATACGATATCCAACAGGGGCAGGACCCGACCAGACTTGACAAAAAAAACAACATTTTCTTGGGCTTTGATATTTTAATGGGCCGGACCTGACTGGTCTATTGTCTTAAACTTAGGTAGAGCCCAAAGTCAACATCATTAGGTTTTCTTTGCCACTATTTATTTCTCCCTGTTCTGTCATTCTCTTCTTCTTCAGGTAAAAGCCCCTTCAAAATCCCAAGCTCGAGAAGTTCAACTCTTCATTTCAAAATCAGAATTTTGGGTTTCTTTTATGACCTTATAGTAAATTTGTTCTTTGTAAAACTTGAATTTTGTGTTCTAGCTCTTGTGGGATTCCTCTTGATTTAGTGTGTGATAGTTAAAAAATGGAAATATCATCACTTTTTGTTAACGAATTTTTGGTTACTTTCAGTTTTCATAAGCAAATAGAAAGGAATGAAATTTCTTGATTTTTTCTTCTTTTTTGGGTTCTGGGTTTTAAAGCATACACCTTTTTGTTGCATTTTTCTTTACTTTAAGCTTTTCATGTTTGTTTTTGGCTTGTTTTGAAACAGGGAATTTTGGCTGTGATTTATGGCTTGTATTCAACACAGCAGAAATGCTTTACGGCGAATTGTTACTAAAGAAACTAACTTTAGGAGCTCTGATGGTACCATACATCCATTGTTTTATGCTTGTCAAGGAGTTAGATATAGGAAGTTAGAAGTTATTCTTACGACAGTAAGTGTGTGATTAGAAAAGATTTCGTTTTGTGGGTTTTTTTATTTGGTTAAGTGTAGATTCAGATATTGATGTTGATGTTGGATTTTGATGTGCTCTTGTAGAACATAGAGAAGCTTGGGAAAGCTGGAGAGACAGTTAAGGTGGCGCCTGGGCATTTTCGTAACCATCTGATGCCCAAATTACTCGCTGTCCCTAATATCGACAAGTTTGCGTATCTCATCAGGGAGCAGCGCAAGGTTTCTCTCAAATTTCTTCCATTTGTTCTATCTTGTTTCATGTGTCTATTAGTGTTTTTTTTATTTGGTGAAAATAGCTGGTTTTGAATCTTGGTTTTTGTTCAGTAGATATTTTACATGTGCATTGTGTTCTAAAGTTGCTAATTGAACTTTTGGATTTGTCTGTTGATTTGGTTTTGTTTGGGAAATGTCAAGTGATTAGTGTTATCTTTGTGATGTGTTGCGAATCAGATTTATCAACATGAGGAAGAAGAAGAGGTGAAAGTAGTCGAAGAGACTAAGGGAGATAAGATGAAAGAATATGAAACAGCTGCAGTACGCTTAGGAAAATCTCGGCTGGTTTGTTGTTTATCTTTAGAAAGTTTATTGGCAATATGAAATATTTTAATTACAGGTTGTCTTACTTTTACTAGTAATATGAGGTATCTGACTCGTCTTTTGTGATTGTAGGTTTTTAGGGTAGGGATCAATGCTGCAAAATTTCGTGCCCGTGCATCAAAAGATGACCCAATAGAAATTCTTTCACCAGTGACAAAGGATGATGTTTTAAAAGAGGTACAGCAGTCTTCCTTTTTAATTGTGATTTTTCTTCACAAAGTTGTAAAGTTAGCTGTCTTTTCTCTATCCATGAAAATAATGATAATGCAACTTTAAATAGGTGGATATTTTTGCATGAGCAAGTTCTGGCAATATATCATATCAAAACCATCTACAGAATCCAGTTTTGGAATTCTCTTTTAGACACTGCAATCTATGATATAGGTTCTGTTTTATACATACTGTTGTCCTTTTATTTGTAGTAAGGTGCAATATGCTTAGTGTGCTATAATGGTGGTTTATGCCTTTTTATTTTTTCTCTGGACAAATGGCATATATTTACCAATTTTAACAATTTTATGTTAGGGCCTAAGGCAAAAACCACTGCTTTCTTGACCTTGGCTGGTTGCCAAGTTTGATCTTGAAAAAAATAAAATAAAATAAAGAGGCAAATAATAGGCATCCATGTGGTTGCTTGACATTTATGTTCCATCTTGTGGTTACCATAAGATTCTATTATCTATTGTTGGAAATGATCTTTATGATTGCAAATATGAGCTTCATGTTCACAACAGTATGCTTAACACAACACTCCCATTTGATCTAATAAGTGAAACAGGTTATTGTTGTTATAGTGTCAATGCCTCATCTCTCTATTTTTTTTTTTTGGTAAAATTTTGGCATAAAATTTGCTATTCTCTATGTCAAAAAGTGTGCACCTTTGCGCAGGTGCATGCCTATGCATTGTGTCTTGCACCTATACTCAACGGCCCATGGAACTCGAGTGTGACAATTGCTTTCACAACTAGCATTTAAAGTTTAGGACTTAGACGTTTTCATTTGAAGTTTGTGTTTTAGATTAATTAAGATACCTGCTTGCGACAATTGGACTTCGGCAGACCTATGGTTGTTTTTGCCTTTTGGATGAGTTGTTGGCTGTTGCGATGAAAATTTTCTGCAGATGTGTACTAACATGGTTCCTGTACATATCAGGTGGTAAGGCAACTCAATGTGCAAATTGAACCTGACAACCTACATCTTCCATCACCTTTGACCACTTTGGGAGAGTTTGAGTTGCCACTACGCTTCCCAAAGTCTATTCCGTTGCCAGAGGGAAAGATTAACTGGACTCTTAAAGTCAAGATTCGGGGTAAATAAATAACTGCATCATCATCAAATTCTTGATGAAGGTTTTGAAAATGCTACTGAGGATTATTGTAGATTTCTTGCAATGAGCTTGATGCTTCAACCGTGACATCTTAATCCCGTGATGTCCGATGTCCCAAATATTTCTTCATAATTTTTTCTAAAGTTACCGTTTGTGCATTGAATTTTATTGTATCTGTTTCTGACATGCACAAATTATACCTGGGGGCCCTTCAATATGCTTTCATACTCGTATGTAGTTTATTCGTTTCGCTCCTCTGGGTCTAGGAGTTTGAGTAGTTCAAGTGAAAGATCGGAGTCGGATCAGTTGGTGTTATTTGTCAAAGAAATGTATTTCCGAATTCTGTTGGTTACTCTTTTGCTGCATGTCAGATTGGTGTCTGATTTCATGCGCATTGATCATTTTGATTTCAGAAACACTTTTGAGAGGCCATTTCCTTTTGCTCTTATGTCAAATGCTGTGTAAAGAATGAATTCATGTGCTTTTTGCTGCTTTAAGAACTTTTGAAACAAAGCTTCATCTTGCACAAAACAAGCAACATGTACTACTACTAATATCTAAACCAAGAGGTCTCAAAAGTTACCTGGTTCTGTCCTAGCTGAGAGATAAAAAAGTTGCATTTATCTCTTTCTAGACAGATATGATGGCCAGATGAAACAAAAGCATAATTCAATTTTCAGGAATTGGCCAGCAATTATTTGTAGCAATTAAATCTATTTTGCTGGATATGGTTCTTGGAAAAATTCAGAAACAAGCTGGTATGGTGGCAATCCTTTCAGAAAATGAGAATGTTGAGTTTCCATAGCACATTTATTAAAAAAATCTTAGGATCTAAATATAAATTGCCATAACTTGGTAGGAGTAAATTATAAATTAGTCCCTCTATTTTAAGAAATGAATTAGTTAGTTCTTTTTGTTTTAAGAATTTATTATTTGATCTTTTATACAATATTGAATATATTTAATTTAATATTATTTTATTTCAAAAAAATTTATATTTTCTCATCAATTCTTCAATATTTTTTACTTAGTTTTTTTTAATCTTTTTTATTTCTAAAAAGAAACAATCAAACTAAATCGAAAAGGATAAAAAAATAATAATTAAAAGTTATAGGAAAATTTATAAATATAAATATTAAATAATTACTATTTGAAATGAGAGAAATTAATTAATTTGTTTTTCAAGTAGCTAGATTTATAGAAATTCCAAAAAAAAGGACTTTTTCCCATTTTTGTAAGGTAAGAAAATGAGTTACTAGGGATTAATTTTGGTCTCTCCCAAAAATAAATTAAATTGTCCTTAGCCGCTGTTTTTGGATGTAAATATAACGCAGTCCTTAAAATTTGGTCAACGAAATTCAAGGGATTAAATTTAAATTTTCAGAAAATGTACTAATCTATAATCACCTTTAAACTACAGGGACTAAAAAATATTTTACTCCCCAAAGTATCATGGGTTGAACTTTTTAATTTTGCTACCTTATCAAAGCGAGTAAATTATAAATTAGTCCCTCTTGTTTAAAGAGACAAATTAATTTTCTTTAGATTGGTGATTTTTTTCCTAAATTATCTTCTCCGGTTGAGGAAAGAGAAAGGAAGTGATTGAAAAAGAAAAATAAGACATAAAAAATATAATTTGAAAAAACATTACTAAACTAATAAAAAAAACTGATCAAAGAACAAGTTATTGATGAAATTAAAACATAAAAAAAGGAGTAAATTAGTATTTAAACATAGACTAATTAATTTATTTCTAGAAACAATAGGGACTAATTTATAATTTACTCTTATCAAAGCCGAAGGCAACCTTAAAATCCCAGACATAACACCAAAACGGCAAAACTAGCTTGAACTGAACCACTCTGATTATCTCTAACCCACCATTCGAAAATAAAGCAGCTCTGGTTGCTCTGTCTTCTCCATAGCTCCTCGAAAATGGCAGTTTCCCTCCTCCATCATCCCTCTTTAAGCAACCAACGGTGCTTTCTCTCTCTCTCTTTATATATAGTTCAGTTTTGTTAACACTCTTTTGTATGATAAACTTGGCTTCAGCTATATATATATATATTCAGCTCATTAAACTCATGTGTGGCTGAGATTAATTGGTTTGTCTTGCGTAGAACTGAAAAAGAAAACACCTTTTTCAACTATGGTTGAAGTAGATGAGTTTTTAGAACTGAATAATGATAGCTCAATGAATAAAGGGATCTCAGAATTGCAGAAGAGAAATTGCCCAATTCAAGTTGGTGCTTTAGGGAGTGATAGTTGTTGTTACTCTTTGAATTTTTGGCAAAACAGCTTATTTCTAGAGACGACATAGCTCTACTCTTGTCCTTGAATGCGTTTTTGCATAGAAAGTTGTGACAATTTGGTACAAATATGAAGAGCTGTCATGTTTAAGTTAGGGTATTGCACAGTCATCTATGGATGGGTATGATAGGGAATGATCCATCGGAAGCAAAGGGGTCGAACAGCAAATAGGGGCAGGCATTGTTTAAGTTTATCGGAGCAGGAAATTCATTCATTTCGGCACCATCAAAATGCAACTCATATTAAATTGTTGCATAAAAGCTAATTTGAAGTTGGAATAAAATAATTTGTGATACGATTCCGATCTTTCTTAGGATACTTAAACTTTTATTTATTTCCTTGTACCTTTTGTCTCCAATAGGCAAGATGAAGGAGCTGCAATCCCAGGATAAGAAATGTTGCTTCTGTCTTCCTTGAAAAGATTGAAGTTGACTTGGTATTTTTGTACTTAAAACGGTTCTCGATTGAAGCATATTTGAATGGAACATCACTTTCCTTCCTAATTTCCTTAGATATTTGTATATTTTGTTTTTCACATCTACTTATTCATTTAAGATTTGTTGTCGTAAGAAATAATTTTTAAGATCCTGTAATCTCATGATGCTGTTTCATTGATATTCTTACCTGACTATTGCAGGATAAGTGAAGCATGTGTGGACCTGAATTCAATGTCTTTGCAGAGAGGCATCACTTGCTTCTCAATTTGTCTCCCAAAGCAGAAATGTCGCATCAAACTATACATGATACCCTCTACACCACTTGCTCGACACTGGATGTTGAAAACTTTTGCCTCAGCTGGCTCATTAAACGCCGAAGTGGAACGCAAAGAAAATCATGTTTCCTCTGGTTTCTCAACTTCTAATGACTTCCACAGGTGGAAACTTACTCAAGTACATTTAATATACTTTCTTTTAAAATGATGCCCTGAATTTTCCTGACCTTTTTGAAAGTTTTGATAACTTGTTCAAACCATATTTAGTTGTTGGTCTTGGAGAAAGTTTGAGACTAGAACATGTAAAATGGTCAAAGGCCGTAATGAAATTTTTATTTTGCATTAGCAGGTCTAAAACAGTTGATGACAGCTCAAATAAACCCTCAGATGATGTGAATGATTTTGAGAGACAGTTGCAAGAGTTGTTTGATGAAGTCAAAATGATGATCAAGATGGGAAACAAAAATGATGCCATGGATCTACTTCAAGCAAATTATGAATTTGTCAAAGAACAGATCAATTCAGGTTCTAGAGGCATTGAAGAAGCTGCTACTCTTGACATCATAGCCTTGGGATACATGGCTATTGGGGACTTAAAGGTTGTTGGGTCTATCCTGAATAAGGTAACTTTCTTTTTCCTTAGTTATTGCATTTTCAATCTGATTCACGTGTTTGAAATCCTTTGTTAAACAATCATGTTTTACTTTTTTCTGAATAAGTTATTGATGCTGTGGCATATGTTTGTTGATCCTGCTATTCTGTTCTTTTTAGCTATGATCTGAATGTAGTGATATTTTAAAGCGTTCACTTTTCTTTCCTTTAGTTAGTAATTTCTTTGGAATTTTGTCATGTTTTGAATGGATTGCCTGATTTCTCACCAACAAGTATAGAAACCATAAATTTGTGCATATGAAGGATGTCTTGTGAACTATCAAGTTAGTTCTATCTCTCTAGTTTATCAGAACAAAAAATGAGTCTTTATTCATGATCACGGGATGTGTTATTCATAGGAACTTCTGAAATTCTTTGTTGAGTTGTTGTCAGTGACTCAGTGATAGTTCTTTCTCATTGGCCTTGAGCTCTGTCAAATTGTTCATGGTAGCAGTTTGTTCTTGTTCTTTGGACCTCTGCAATTTTTTTGGTACATCTATACATGTAAACCAATGTGTGGGAAGCCACCATTATGTTGACAAATGCACTTAGATTCTTATATATCTCTTTGTTTCTCTTGTGCTTCATTTCATGGATGGCCAGTTGGACGAGATTGTTGAGAGTCTAAAGGATGATGAACCTCTTCTGGATTCAGTACTAATACATATGGGAAGCATGTATTCAGCTCTGGGGAAGTTTGAGAAATCCATGCATGTATATCAAAGAGTTATTGCTATTCTAGAGCGCATACATGGTGAATACAACCCTGTTTAATATAGTTTTCTTTTTTGCTAAATTTGACTGGCTTTGCTTGATATATTACTTATTTTCGCTTCGTTTGTTTAATTACTCTTCAACAATTTAGCAGAAGGCAAAGTCGTTGAAGCTGGATGCGACTTATTTTTCCATTACACAATAGTGCACTTTCCATATTTCCTACCACCAGCATGCTTAGATTTTTCCTCCTGTCCTTCTGTTGTTGGCAAAATTAGAATTGCCTAAGTCCTGAGGGCAACTTCTAATACATGCTGTTGCATTTATCTCATCCTGCTTATCCATTTTTTGCAAATTGTTTATGGACCATATTCATGAACAAAATAACATGTTGTTTTGTCAAATTTTTATCATTTCCTCATTCTTGAATCTAAGATCAGCCAAGAGATCATAAAATGACAATTGGATCAAGATGAATGATGATATGAAGTTTTTGTTGAGTCTCAAACGGTTTTGTCCATTGAAAATATATGGCTTTATTCCTGCTCTTAATGCTGCATTTAACCTTTGAGATTTCCTTTGACTCTTTGCCAATGAAGCAAGCCCAAAACTTAACAGTTGTCCTGTGAAAATGCTTTCTTTTAGGTAAAGGCAGTACTTTTCTTGTCTCACCATTGTTGGGGATGGCAAAAATTCTTGGTTCAATTGGAAAAGCTACTGAAGCGATAGAAGTTTACCAACGTGCTATAAGTGTTCTGGAATCTAGTAGAGGAGCTGAAAGCAAAGATTTGGTAGTGCCTTTATCTGGTCTTGGGAATCTTTTGATCAAGGAAGGAAAAGCTACAGATGCAGAAAGTCTTTTCAATAGGTTACTTTACTTTCTATTGGTGTCTTTATTTAGTCTTTGAAGTTAAGTTATGATGTTCACTTCCTTTCTGTTTTGCTTTTTTCAGAATTTTAAGCATATATAAGGAGTCATATGGTGAATATGACGGAAGATTTGGCATGGCTTTGTGTTCCGTAGCCCATGTGAAGTGTGCAACAGGTAACTATGTCAATCTCTCCTTTTCTCCCTCTCTCACACACTCAAAGATTCATCCATGATGCTGGATTTTCGACCTCCTGCTTTAAAACAGTTTATTGTTGATAAATACAATAATAACCTTGTAAACTCTACTGCTGCCCTCTTTCCGATATTATAAGTTAATCAACTTAATTGTTCATATTCCAATGTCTTGCAGGGAATGCAGAAGAAGCTATTAAATTATATAGAAAGGCTCTTCAGGTCATCAAGGATGCAGACTACATGGCCCTAGATGACAGTGTCATGGAGAAGATGAGGATAGATTTGGCTGAATTACTTCATGTTGTAGGAAGGTAAAGCCAGATAAAACTAATCTTCATGTTTTTGGAGGGTTAAAGCCAGATAAAACCAACCTTCATGTTGTAGGATAGATTTGAGGGATTAGAAGCCAGTGGTGGTCTTCTGTGCATTGTTGTCTATTGCCAAATAGGTCAAGGCTGTGACTGCTTTGAGCGAGTGCAATTTTCCGACATTTCGTTGTTCCCTAAACTTTGTTTTCTAGATTAAATTCCTTTATATTGTTATATGGTTGCTTGCAGAGGAAAGGAAGGCCGAGAGCTACTAGAGGAATGCTTGCTGATCACTGAAAAGTATAAAGGAAAAGATCATCCAAGCTCAGTTACACACCTTATAAATCTTGCAACCTCCTACTCACAATCGAAGAACTACATTGAGGCCGAGCGCTTGTTGAGGACAAGTTTGGAGATTATGATGAAAAGTTTGAAACCCGACGATTCATCCATCAGCTTTCCAATGTTGCACCTTGCAGTGACTCTCTACCGTTTAAACCGGGATGAAGAAGCTGAGCAAGTCACACTAGAGGTTTTGCGCATTCGCGAGAAGGCATTTGGAAAAGATTCTCTTCCCTTCGGTAAGCCTTCTTTCCCTGTTCGATCATCTAATTAGGCCATCTGATCAATTAGCTTGTAATTTGTGAGCAATGCAATCATACCTGATGTTTTTTCTTGAAATTTTTGGCAGGGGAGGCCCTGGACTGTTTGGTATCCATCCAGACCAGATTAGGGAAGCCTGAAGCTGAGTTGTTAGAGCTTCTAAAACAAGTTCTGAAAATCCAAGAAAAAGAGTTTGGCTACGAGAGTGAAGAGGTTTTGAGAACCCTAAAGAAAATTGTATTCTACTTGGATAAAACAGGAAGAAAGGATGAGAAATTTTCCATGCAGAAAAGATTATCTGTGCTCAGGATGAAATATAAACAAATGATGCAATATTAATGTTATAGTAGTTGCCTCTGGTTGAATGCAAAATTTCTTTCATTATTTCTTATTAATACTTTTTTATGTAACTATAATAGAATAGTTAATATTCAATACACAATGCAAATATAAATTTTAATTTATATAAATATTGAATTTTATTATAAATTTAATACATAGTTAAATGCTTACAATCCAAAGATAAACTCAACAACAAATTTATTTTAATGATATAACAAGAAACAACAAATTTATTTTAAATCATCAATTGTTCCAAAACAAAAATATTTCAAGAAATAAAAAAAATATTTTAGTTACAGCCTAAAATTACATAAATTAAAAAATGTCACTGTTTTTCTTTGAAAAAAGAAAAAGGATAACTGGCTTAAACGAAGTAGGTTTAATTGGTTAAACAAGTGGTTTCGGTTTTGAATCATTTTATATGTAGAAAACTTCTTTAGAAGTTATGTCTATCTTATCTTATGTATTCGATAGAATATTTAATGATTAATATGAGTTTTTTAGGCTTGGGATACGCTAAGGATAAAAGAAAAAAAAAAATTATGTTTTGCTCGTATAGATCCATCGATGCTCTAATTTTATCCCTACAACTTAAAATTTCCAAACTTTACCACTATAGATATAACTAACAAAAAGCTGACGTTTTCACATATTTTATTTTGTTTTCTTACTTCTCTCATATTTTCCTCTAAAAAAAAAATTAGAAAACCTAAAAAATTCAAAGAGGGATATATTTAGGAACAACATTGGAACTTCATGAAAACAAAAAGGATGAGATTGAAATTATTTAAAATATAAGGGTATCAATGAAACATTGATGAATCTACTGGGGCAAAAAAGAAACCAGGTAATACTGTTGTGTAATATAAAATTTTCCGTAAACTAATTAAAGAAAATGCAGAGTCTAATCACTTCGAAACAAAACAGAGCCGGAAATGGCCACCTCTGCTCTATCCTTTGCTTTCTCTTCATTTTCAGCTCCAAAATCTTCACTTTGCTCGTTTCCAGAGAAAGCCCAGGTCTTTAAATTTTCTAATTTTTTCCTTGCTTGTCTTTTTTATGTCATTTTAGTGTTTTAATGATTTTTTTTTTTTCAGGTAGTCTCAAAGTTGCAGAAAAATAGTGGCAGAGGTAGGCGAGTCTGGCGCCGGAGGCAATTGGTATTTACAATTATATTGCCTTTTCTCTGTTTTTAACGAGACCCTTATAAGAATTTCTTGAAATGTGAACACTGAAACAATTTCTTGATAAGAACACTTGAAGAATGCGAACTTCCTTGATGGGAATACTGAACCCTTACATGAATCAATTTACTGATGAGAAATCTTGAAAAGTGTTAAAGCTTCCTAATGAGGATAGTGACATGTCTGTTTTTTAGCCCTTATTAGTGCAGTTGTTTTTGTAGCCATATTTTAGCTTTAAGTAGATAAAATACGAACGATGTCATGTAAGGCATATAAAGATAAAACGTACTTTATGAACTTCATTGTTGCCAAAAGAACTTGAATTTAAAGTATCAAACCTGATTTTTTTTTTTTTTTCTGTATAATTACACAATCGAACTTAGGTTACCTATCCGACCTTACGTAGTTAGGATAAGTAGTTGCTGCTATTATTACTGTTAATATTATAGTTTAGAATGTGGGTTGCCTCTTTTTTTCATATATCCTCACATTTGTTGTTCTCCTCATGATAGAGTGTAAAGAACTAGACCAGATTTGCCATATTGATAAGTTTTATAGATTCTTTCTCCATGTTGAGTTTTTGAATTGAATAAAGCTACCAGGCAAGCTGATTGGTATAACTTTCACTTTGTTTCTTGTATTGTCTTAGGATTTCTTGGCTATAAAATTCAGTCAAATCATTTAGAAAACAGTTTTTGTTTCAAGTTTTTTACTTATATTTATGCACTCGATGGAAACTGATATGTAGAATCAAGTTTTAGACAGATGAAATCTGTTATTTTTATGTATTACAACTCATGTGACATCCGTGTTCTTAAAACTGCTTTACATTAAACTTCAAGTCCAAGTTCTTTTGGCATTCAAAATATCAATAGCAATCTTAGTGAAATTCATAAAGTAGGTTTATCTTTTAGGCCTCAGTTTATTTCAAGATTCCCCAGAAAGAAGCTGTTTAAATATTCACGTTGCCAGATTTGCTATCAAGAAATTGCTTCTACGGGCTACATCGAGTAAATTTTGCCTTATTTGTTTATGATCTGGGTTCTCCTTTTTGCATGAGATGATTGTGGATGGTGACTAGATGATATAGGAGTTGCATATGATTCATATGCTACATGTGGATAACTGTATGGGGTGGATTTTGGCAGCAGATCCTTGCTGGAATTTCATGGGCTTGAGAATTGGCCTTGTAATAAACTGTCATCAAATGAATTTGTATAAAGTGACATATATATTATTCATGCCTTATTTGTTCATGAACTGGGCTCTATTTTCAAATGTTGTGCTTGTGGATGTTGATTGAAAATGCTTATTTTGTTCCAGACTAAGGAAGATGACCTCTTGCGATATAAATTGGAGCGAGTTCCTTTCCTTGAGGAGCAGGTTAGGAAGGTTAAAGAGGAAGGAAAGTTATTGACAATGGATATCCACAGATTGTTACTATCAGAAGATAATAGGTTTGATTTTGTGAATGAGATTGCAGCTGAGGCCATTGAGTATGTTGAAAATGACAGAGATGAATATGGAGGAAAGAAAAAAGCCATTCTACATGTGCTTAGCAACCGTATGGACGATGCTGGGTATTCCCGTCCAGTGGCATATCAAGAATCTGACCCCTTCCTGCCTGGCCCTACTTATTTGAGGCAAGAGCTTGAATAGACTTTGATATTAGATCTGCCGTATTGTAGTTTGGCTAAAGGCTGCTATTACTAGAAAAAAAAAGGAAGAAAAACTGAAGGCTTTATTATCTAATTCATAGTGTATCAACTTTCTATTTGATATGTTACCTATTTCATTTGTTGTTGACATGTAATGAGATGTATGCTTGCTCCTAACTACTGGATGGCTTCAGGACATCTAACCCAGAAAAGAATCTGACACCATCAACCTTATCCATTGTAATCACGAAGCTCCATTAAGAACTTCTGGGTTTGGTCCATGATTGTTCATTCACTTGTTGAAAATTCTTATTCACAAGCAAATCTAACTAAATTGGGTCACCCACTATATCAAGTCGGACTATAGTTTCAAATAAATGTGGTTATATAATGTAATGGCAGTTATATAACCGTTTTGGACATGTTCATTACTGTTTATATGCTGTTATAAGAGTATAATGATGTTTAACATAAATAATGGCATTATAAGTTGTTACTATTATATAACTACATTATTTGTTGTTATTTGGTGAATAATGTCTGTTATTTATTTATTTATTTATTTATTATTTTGATTCTATGCATATCATTATTGTTTGTGTGATATTACATTATTAGAAGTGTTATTATTAAGTTTAATGATTAAAATTATTAAAAATATGTGAATTAAAATAAATTTATTTAAAACTTGTAGCCTACTAATACATTCACGATATCGATTGTCACGATTGTTATCTTACTAGCTTAATAAACTGCAATAAATAATAAAATTATGATCGTTTTTGCAATTACGTTAGCTATTTAAAATTATGTTTAGACTCAGAAAAAATTAAGAATAGCATATGGTAATATATTTTATTTTTTGTGTTTTAACAGAAGTATATTTGAGCTGAAAAAAAAACACTAATTTGATGTATCTTTTGATCAAAAACCATTCAAAAACACTAAAAAATTGCTCAATTTAGTGCTTTTTTTTCCCCTTAAGTCAAAATGTATTTTCAAATGCGGTCTTAGTAAAAATCTCATCTCGGTAAACCTAGTAGTACTGTTGCAAAGGCAAAGTCTGAACTTCTCATGTCTGAAAATCACAGCCATAATTAACTAGTTCGTGTACATTGAAAAGCCACTCAGATCTTGCCACGTAATCATCTAGTCCAGTATTTGTGGGTCCAATCTCACGTGGCAAAAGGTTAACTTCCAAAGAACTGTGTACCATACATCTCACCCCATGTAGAATCTAATCGTTAAATCAGTTAAGAGGTTTAGCTTCACCCTCTTATCCTCCACTAGACCAAAAATCACCACCACCACCAAACCTCATCTCATCCGTACAACATCTGAAACTCAGTCCAACGTAGTAACCCAACTCAGTAAATGGCATTGTTAAGGCCACAGTTGGAGAGATTCCCGTCAACCAAGCTCCATTATGGCCCCTCTAGTACCAAAACCCCCATTAGAAACAACTATTCTTTTGCTACTAGGCCTAAAAGCCAATGTTCTGCTATAGCAATAGATGCCCCATCTTCTTTAACTGATGTAGCCGGAATCCGGTGGGGGTCTACAAGCTTGCAAGGCCCACGTGAAGAGATGGAGGATGATCTCGTAATTCGATCAGATGGCCTTGAAGGGTTCTCCTTTGCAGCTGTTTTTGATGGCCATGCTGGTTTTTCTTCTGTGAAGTTCCTCAGGTTTGACAGATTTTAGAAACCATAGCAGATTCATCTTTATTGAGTTCTTTTTGTGTAGTTTTTTATTAATCTTCATCGTTGTTAGGGATGAGTTGTACAAGGAGTGTGTAGCAGCTTTACAAGGTGGTTTGCTATTGAACGGAAAAGATTTCAATGCTATTAGAAAGGCATTAGAAGAGGCTTTCGAAAGTGTTGATGCAAAATTGTTAAATTGGTAAGCTTAAAGAATCTTCTTTGTGCAAAAATTGCTTTTGACAGTAGAAAAATGGGCAGATAGTGAATAGTGTAATTCTATATTCTATATTATCGCGTTGAAGGTTTAGGTGATGTTTGATTTTGTAAAGGCTTGAGAAAGATGGTGAGCAAGATGAGTCTGGTTCGACAGCGACTGTTATTTTCGTCGGAAACGAAAAGCTAGTCATTTCACACATTGGTGATTCATCTGTGGTATGTCTTCGATTCTAATGCTATTCCTTTTTGAAAATATCAATGGAAAAATTGAAATATGTTGGATGATTATGAGCAAGTTTTGCATAATGTTTCACTTTTCTTGTTGAATGTTTGATGCAGGTCTTATCTCGATCGGGGAATGTGGAAGTGTTAAATGATGCTCATCGACCTTATGGAAACAACAAAGTCTCTCTTCAAGAAATCAGAAGAATCAGAGAAGCAGGTGGATGGGTGTGTTTTCTTGCAATTTCTGTAGAAAGTTCATCTAGTCTTCTCTTGACTGCTCTTACCTTCTTCCTTGCTATCCTTAGGATTGAAATAGAGCTCAATTTGGTATCGTTACTTGCCCTTTTTTTTATATAGGAGTCCTATCATGCTAATTTAGAATCGAAACGATTTTGTTCTTCCCATGAAGGAGTAAAAAGTTTAAAATTTCTGTGTTGGGATCTGTTGATTTTCTTGGCACATTCCCTTATTTCAATGATTTGAAGTTTGTTTAAACATTTCTTGATAAATTCTTAAACTATGATTCAAAATCCTTGTATTTTTGGGATCTATAGAGAATTTCATCTGAAACTACTATATGCTTCTTCCTCAAGACCAAGTCTTACATACCTTATTGTCTGATCATTTCTATTGCAACTTTTTCTATAGATTGTCAATGGAAGGATCTGTGGAGACATAGCTGTATCTCGTGCCTTTGGTGACATGCGGTTCAAGACAAAGAAGAAAGAGTTTGGTCCTTCTAATCTCTGGCTTCCTATGTTTCTTTTAAACACAAGGGTTAGTTTGAATATGTCTTCAACCAGCACATAAATTTAGTCTGAATATGTCTACACATGAATAGGATGCTGGAGAAAGGAGTCGAGGAAGGGAGATGGTCTGAAAAATTTAGTTCTCGGTATGATCTTTTCTTTATTTTCCAGCAGCATGCTCTTCTACTCTCCATTTTTGTAAACTGAACCTTGGTCATAAGATAGTTAAAGTGCATTCAAATGCATATAAAACATCCCAAGACCTATTAGATCATGTTTAACTCATGAAATAGCATACGGTTTAGGTTGGTAATGGCTATTCGATGAATCTGCCTGCCCTAAGATCATAGCAATTGGAGCAAAAGCAAAATCTCATTCATTTTGGCTTAGTACATTTGGCCTGTATGGTTCTAAGGTTGTATGTTCTCCTAGGAATTACAAAATGCATGTTCTGTTGATATAAGTACATATGAGAAAAACCCTATGCCACCACCATTTACTGAAGGATGGATGACAAATGCTTGCTGCATATGTATGAGCCAAGATACGATGCTCAGTACACTGATAAGATAAGGGACCGTTGAGTTTATGATTTGCAAGTTCTTTTAGAAGGTGAACTAATGTTATGTTGTGACAGAGTACAATTCAATGGGGACTTGGTCATTGCATCTCCAGAGGTTTACAGAATAGCTCTTGGGTCAGATGCAGAGTTTGTAATATTAGCATCTGATGGTTTATGGGATTACATGAACAGGTATTTTTGCTCATCCTCCAACTATTTTAGTTGCATTCTTTAACGTCTATTTCTGTAATCTCGTGATCTTCATTCATAATCAGTATCTTGCTTAACTGTTTGCTATTGTCTGTAACAGCTCAGATGCAGTTGCTTTTGTCAGGAACCAACTTCGAAAACATGGAGATGTACAGGTAACCATTCTGTTGACGATTGAATATCCAATGAATCCATTGCACTTGAGTCTAAACCCAGAAAAAAGTTTTGAATGCCTGCATGTTTTTAGATGATGTTACTATCGCGATGCAGCGGCAGTTCTAACTTACCTCTCATTCTGCTTTCAGCTAGCTTGTGAAGAACTTGCTCGGACAGCAATTGTAAGGACTTATATGAACAATTAGTCTTACTCAACATTATCGTTCAATATTTAACTTGGGATTTCAAATAATTTTGAATTCCTTATGTTGCAGGATCGCCGGACACAAGACAATGTTAGCATTATCATTGCTGATTTAGGGTACGCATGTCTTTGCTTTCATGTATCTTTGTTAATACAAATTGATAACGAAAATCTAAACTGGTCTAAGATGTTTTTGATCTGCAAGTTCATTAATTATTGATAAATGCAATAATCTTAGCCTTCTGCCATCTTAATTAACTAATTTTGCTATGTTTTTCGTTTTTAACTTCTGCAAAAGGCGGACAGACTGGCAAAATCTGCCTCTCAAGCGACAAAATGTTGTGTATGAACTGGGCCAAGCTTTTGCTACCATTGGTATCGTTTCACTTGGAATATGGATGTCATCCTTGCTCTCTTAATAAATGCTAGAGCTTCAGAAGGTGTATATAAATCAACATAGATTTCGACATGTTAGTCCATATAAATCTGTATACATCAGCAACTTCATGCTTTTCTTTTAGGAGAAAGAATGATAAACATCGTGTTTCGAAGGTTCATTTCCAGAATCGTATTATATTACAGTGACTTTTTGAACGAGACTTGCATACAGATCACATTGTAGCTTCATTGCTGATAACTATAAATAGATGCAATAAAATAATAAACACATATCTGAATGTTAATCAATGAGGATCAAGAAAAAGAAAATAGGAAACCAGCTTTGTATTGATGGATTCGTATTCAAGCTTCCTCGAGCAGTTACCAAGGTCTACACTCACTGGATCTCCATAGTTATTGTGTTGCCCAGAAGAACCCTGACCTTTCCACAGTAAATTTGTACAGTTCTACGGTGTTTCCAGAAGCCCCATCCTCCAAGTAAATGTGACCATAACATTACTTGCCCTTTCCTTTGCCATTTTTGCAACCAACCATTTCCCCATCTTCCCTATGTCTGTGTCTTTGGCTGATAACTTGCCTGTATTTCTTTACTTTTTCCAGATTTTAATGAGAAAGGTTAGAGAAAGGATGATGTTAAGAGCTCATGATAAACCGAAGTCTTTATTTGCTCCAACTTTGCCTTTGTCTGAGTAGGATTTCTTCCAGCGACCTTTGCTTCCCAATTTGCCGTGAAACCTGGATAGGAAGAAATCTGTTAAAGTTCTGAGACAGAAATGGTAGTAACTTGGCCTCTAGGAAATTCAGAGAAAGTAAAAAATGCTTGACAAGCCAGAAAGGCCTCAACTTCAAACACTACTAAAAGAAAAGCATCCATCTTGGAATGTAGAGAATAAGCACTCACAGATAAGTTTTACCCTAAAATATGATAACCTCGTGTTTGTATATGGCCAAGGTTCTTGGGCTTCTTCAATAATAAGCTATTTTAGTTAACTTTTTTAACAGGTTAAGTCTACAAGCACACGAGTCTTCATGGTTTAAGACAAGACCCAACAGTAACGTATTAAATTTATTGGTTCACTAAGTCTTACATAAATATATTTTAACTTCAATTTATTTATTTATGATTAAAGATAGTGAGTATTTTTAAACCAACTTTAGCATTAATCGAGATTAAATTCACTATTTTCTAAGTTGGTTAGTGCTGGATTACATATAATATTTGATCCATTTTAAAAACCGAATTCTTTGAATTCACCAACAATTTTCATATAATTAACTTTAGTTTAGTTATGTAATATTAACTTCTTTATTAATTTATCTTTGTTAACTTTCACGTATAATTAAATGACTCTTCTTTTTTTTTTTTTTCTTTTATGAATATTGATTCTTTTAATGATGGCTTTGTTGTTCCTTTTTATATTTGCCTTGCTTATTTTTTTGAACCGGCAGTATATCCACTTTGATGTGTTTATTCATACTCGCTCATTAAAAAAAAAAAAATTAATGTTGCAATAGTTGGAAAAAAAAATTAGAACATTTTGCTATGATGCTATATTTCTTTCTTGTTAAAATTGATTAATAAAAGAAAACATTTTATGATATTTAACTAGTAACTATCAATACTTACTCAAAAATAGACACAAATAGGAGAGAAAATTTTAAAAAAATCGAGTCTAAATTAAAAAAATATATTCTTATCACTTTTAGTACATCTCAATGTGAACATTTTTTTTTTTTATCTATCTCTTTTTTCAAAATTTTCAAAATACGTACTCCAAAACTATTTTAAAATTTCTCAATAAATAGTCAATTTTAGTTTGCATTATATACATAAAAGATACTCACAAGTATTGTAAATTATTGAAGTTTGCAAACATAATACTTTCAAATTTTATCTTCTCATGCATAATTGAATTTTCTGTCACAAGAGAAGGAATTTTTTTTAGTACAAAAAATCAATGAAGATTTGATGATCGTCAACTATTTTTCATAACAATAACCTTACCAATATGGAAAATCTAAACATGTTAACATTCATTCGTTTGATTACAAAATAAAATTTTAATTCTATACATAAATATATAATATAACCATATAAAATAAAAATGATAAAAAAATTGCTTGGGAAAAATATAAAAATGCTATTTAATTTTTTAGAGGAAACAATTTTTTGAGTTGAGAATATGGTAATAAAGATTTTATAATAAACGTTAGAATTAGTATTCCTCGATCAATTCAATGGCAGACACTTCTTTCCATCTTTTATCATTTTCAAATGCATTTTGACAAGTTCTCTACTCCCTTGATTAATATAAGAACTATGGAAAAAGAAGGGTGGTGTTATAAATTATTTTTTTTATACAAGTTTAGTAAATAAAGAGGAAAGAAAGATTGCCTAAAGACCACCATTTCTAGATGTTAAAAATAAATAAATTTAATAAGTATTACATCAAATTGATTTATATATTGAATTTATTTGTTTTTAAAATTTTCTCCAATATCCCAAACAATTTATAAGGAGTTGAATTAATTCTTTTATGTAGTTTGAGATTTATATGTGTATGTACTTATAGATTTAGAAATAAGTTTTGCATGAGATTAGGAAATATAGAGAAGTTAAATCATACAAATATCACATGTGGAGAGGTTAAATCATACATATCCTATTGGCCTTTTTTATACTATATCTTAACAGTGTTAGAGGGATGAGGATTGGATTTCTAGCCTTATTAGTTATATATATATATATATGGACTTCAGGAATTTACTACATGGGTACCTCTCGGTAAACTTGTAAAGCCTTAAATGGAGCATTTTCTTTGAGGAAGCCAACACTTTTTAGATCATTATCCAATGGTGATTCTGCCCCCAAAGAAGGCAAAGATTGATGCATTGGCGTTAGCACCACCCCAATACTTTGAATTGATCACATATCGTTGTTGAAAAGTGTTGAAGCTTTCAGCTTGTAATTGAAGTGATCAAGTGTTTCGGTTGTAATAAAATGTCTGCAAGTCCTTACCAATTAATTTCTGTTTCCACCAAAGTTCGTCCCATTGATCTACATTCCTCCATGGATCAAATTCTGCAAAAACAGAAGCTGAGTACATTGGAAAAAGCCATTGAAGTGCAAATGGTGAAGACTTCATCATGGCATGCAATATTGTCTAACTTGAGAATATTTGTGATATGCTCTAATGCTTCGAACAATCATGTCCTTATATACTTGCTTGAAATAAGAACTCGAGTACGTGGTGGCTATAATACCAAGGCCAATGACATTGCCATTTTTATTGTTGGTTAGCTGTAGGTGACAGGAGAAGCTTAGACTGTTTCTCCATCTCAGACATAAGGTGGGAGGAAAGAGCAGGCCTGATAAAATTACATTGCAAAGCCAGTTGAAATAGGTTATTTGTCATGGGCTTGAAAGAAAAAAAAAAAAAAAAAAAAAAAAGAACACACACATGGAAAGGTTGAACACATAGCAACAATGGTTATTGATGGAATAGATAAGAGTTTGAAAACCTCTTTTATATAACACAAAAGATCTATCTTAAGAATAAATCAAAAAATAATAAAATAAAAATGATATGAAATTAATTTAATCTAAAAAATAATAAATTTAGTTTTGATTTATTTGAAAAATTAATCTGAATGATCTGACACTAAACCCCTCTCTCTCTCTCTCTATATATATATATATAAAATGACAAACACACAATGCAATATACCAAGAAATTGTTTTAGCTTCCCTAATACTATAGAAGATCCACGAAATTTCTTATAGAATGTCACTAACAAAGTAACAATTGCAAATCAGATACATTAGGTTGTAGGAAATTTAGGCCTTCGAGTTCACTTGTAGCAATTTATTGAAAAGAGACATGACCTTGGAATTTCATAAGTACTGTAGTAATTAAAAGGTGTCAAAATCTTTGCTTGGAAACAGCTGTTGTTGGAAAGCATCCTAGCTATGATCAATGTACGATAATCTTCTCTTTGAGGACAAAAAATCTATCATTGTCAAATGGTTTTGACGATGAAGTGGGGTTTTGCAGTGGATGTTCTAAAACCATCAAAAACCCATTATCATGGAGGCACCATATGCTTTAATGACATAAAAAGACTACAAAAAGGTACACAGCAACACTGTTATAGAGGACAGGTGCTCTGAATTTGCAGTTCTCAAACCAATGGCTAGATACTAGGTTGTCATTGGAAGGAAGAAAACTTTTAAAAAATCAAATCTAATAAAATGTCAAATTGGACAATAAGAGGGATACGTTTTCTGTTCTTTCTATTTTTTTCTTTAGGATCTCTACAATATTTCTTAATATTAGACAAACATAATTATTTAAGAAATTTTTTTAACGTATACAAGAATTTAAAAATTCAGATCGTTTGTCCGAACAATTAAAATATTTTTTATTCAAATTAATCATTTTGGATACTTCTTTGTGCTTTATTCTAACTTCTATAGCAAATGCCCAGATCTTGAAAATATATGGTGCTTGTCTCATGCACCCCTCAAAAATAAAAAATAAAAATAGAAAATTAAAAATGGTGATCAAGGCACTTTTCAATTGCTGATCAAGACATCCACAACTCAATTTATGGATCAGTAAAAAAAATACCATGTTAAGCTTATCTCTTTAACTTCCGATCCATTTGCTGGAAACTCTCTAGCAAAAGACAGCTGCTTCATTATTTACTATTAGAATACAAGATAACCCATTGCCTGAGAATTAAGTTCATAAATGGAGCAGTGACATGCATGGACAGAATATTTATTCGCTGTAAAATCATATCTTAGTCCCACAATTATGGGCTACTTACTAAGGGAACATAAAATAATAATACATACATACATTAATTACTAAATAAAATTCACTTTAAAATGCAATAATAGTGTATCTTCTCATGCATGAACAAAACCTCCAGAGGGAGAGAACATATGGTTAATGGTTCAAGACAAGTTCAAGGGTTCTTGCCAGGTCTTGCTCTAGGGTCATGCTTGTGGCTAGGTCCTGCTTCATCATAATCCTCCTTTTATTGATCTTTTGGATGCCATCCTTTACAAAAATTAAATTTCGCTTACATTCAAAATCATACTTGGATATAAAATGAATTTCAAATATTCATTGCATGTATAAAAAAAATAAGTTATGATAATATTTAATGTGTCAATTTAAAAAAACAAAAAACAAAAAAAAAAATGTCTTGCCATTACAAATAATAAAATCAAACAATCCTAACAAAGCTTTTTATTAAAGACTAAAGTTAATTTAAATTGGGCTAGAAGCATGAAAAATCTAAAAGAAAATATTAAAAATGTCTCAATCTTAATGGAACTGATTTTCCACAGTACCGATGCTGGTCATGAACAAAATCAAATAAATGTAAAATAGTTGATATATATTCAAGATTTCTATCTAGAATTCTGAAAGGATCGTGTGTGTGTACATATATATAAGAACTTCAGGAATGTACTACATACATGGATACCTCTTTGTAAACTTGAAGAGACTTAAATGGAGGAACATTTTCTTTGAGAAATCCAACACTTTTTAGATCATTATCCAATGGTACGTGATTCTGCCCCAAAGAAGGCAAAGATTGATGCACTGGTATTAGCACCACCCCAATACTTTGAATTGATGACATATCGTTGTTGAAAAGTGTTGCAGCTTTCAGGCATATAATTGAAGTGATCAAGTGTTTTGTTGTAAACTTGTAATAAAATGTTTGCAGGTCCTTACCAATTTCTGTTTCCACCAAAGTTCTTCCCATTGATCTCACCCTTGGAGGATCGCACATTCCTCCATGGATCGAATTCTGCAAAAACAGGAGCTAAGTACATTGGAATAAGCCATTGAAGTGAAAGTAGTGAAGACTTCATCATGGCAATATTGTCTAACTTGAGAATATTTGTAATATGTTCTAATGCTTTGAACAATCATGTCCTTATATACTTGCTTGAAATAAGAACTAAAGTACATGGTGGCTACAATACCAAGGCTAATGACATTGTAATTTTTTATTGTTGGTTAGCTGTAGGTGACAAGAGAAGCTTAGAGTGTTTCTCCATCTCAGGCATAAGGTGGGAGGAAAGAGAAGGCCTGATAAAATTACATTGCAAAGCCAATTGAGCTAGGTTATTCGTCATGGGCTTGAAAAAAACAGAGGAACACACACATAGAAAGGTTGAACACAAGCCACTTGCTATATATGTATCAGCTTTTGGATACTTGTTAACCGAAAAGAACTCATAGCAATAAAAAAAATAGGAACCTAAAATAGCACCGGTGCAAAGATTCCTATAATCTAAAAAATTTAGGTTTTCAGAAAATCTAAATCTCAATAAAGATTATTGATGGAGTGATATGAATAGATAGGAGTTTGAAAACTTATTTTATATGGCACTAAAACTAATCGAGTTAGTAGTTTCAAAAGGTCTCGTCCTTAAGAATAAATCAAAAAAATAAAAATGATCCGATACTAATTTATTCTAGAAAATGATAAATTTAGTTTCAATTGAATTTTCTGAAGTCGGCCTCACTCATATATATATAATGACAAACTCACAATGCAATGTACCAGAAAATTGTTTTGGCTTCCCTAAAACTACAAAAGATCCATGAAATTTCTTATAGAAAGTCACTAACAATTGCAAATAAGATACATTAGGTTGTAGGAAATTTAGGCCTTCGAGTTGATCACTTATAGCAATTTATTGAAAAGAGACATGACCTTGGAATTTCATAAGTACTGTAGTAATTAAAAGGTGCCAAAATCTTTGCTTGGAAACAGCTGTTGTTGGAAAGCATCCTAGCTATGATCAATGTACAATAATCTTCTCTTTGAGGACAGAAAATCTATCATTGTCAAATGGTTTTGACGATGAAGTGGGGTTTTGCAGTGGATGTTCTAAAACCATCAAAAACCCATTATCATGGAGGCACCATACACTTTAATGACATAAAAAAGATTTGAAAAAGGTGCACAGGAACATGGTTATAGAGGACAGGTGCTCTGAATTTGCAATTCTTAAAGCAATGGCTAGATACTAGATTGTCATTGGAAAGAAGAAAACTTTTAAAAAATCAAATCTAATAAAATGTCAAATTGGACAATAACTTTTCTGTTCTTTGGACTTTTCTTTTTTGGCTCTCAACACTATCTCATATATAATAGTCCATTATGATCTTTTATTATTCCATTGAATGCATAATATAAATATAATTATTTAAATTTTTTTTACGTATACAAAAACTTGAAATCGATATTATGTGTTTAAACAATCAAAATATTTTCTATTCAAGTCAACCATCTTAGATATGTTGTTTCTACTTTTAATATCTACGGCAAATGTCCAAATCTTGAAAATCTGTGGTGCTTCTCTCATGCACCCCGCAAAAATAGAAAATTAAAAATGGTCATCAAGGCACTTTTCAATTGCTGATCAAGAAATCCACAACTCAATTTATGAACCAGTAAAAAAATACTATGTTAAGCTTTATCTCTTTAACTTCCACTTGCTGGAAACTCTCTAGCAAAAGCCAGCTGCTTCATTATTTACAATTAGAATACAAGATAAGCCTTTGCCTGATAATTAATTAAGTTCATACATGGATCAGTGACATGCATGCACAGAATATTTATACACTGTAAAATCATATCTTAGTCCCACAATTGTGGGCTACGTACTAAGGGAACATATAATAATGCATACATACATACATTAATTACTAAATAAAATTCACTTTAAAATGCAATAATAGTGTATCTCCTCATGCATGAACAAAACCTCAAGAGGGAGGTTCAAGGGTTCTTTCTGCCACCAACACCAGGTCTATCTCTAGGCTCTTGCCTACGGTTAGCTCCTGTATCATCATATTCCATCACAATCGTTTGGATGCCATCCTTTACAAAAATTAAATATCAGTTACATTCAAAATATATCATACTTCAATGTAAAATGAGTTTCAAATCATTGCATGTAAAAAAAAAAGTTATGATAATATTTAATGTGTCAATTTAAAATAAAAATCAAAATCAAAATCAAAATGCCTCTCCATTAAAAATAATAAAATCAAACAATCCTAACAAATCTTTTTATTAAAGATTAAAATTAATTTAAATTAGGCTAGAAGTATGACAAATCTAAAAGAAAATATTAAAAATGCCTTGATCTTAATGGAACTGATTTTCCACAGTACCGATGCTGTTCATGAACAAAATCGCAAATAAATGTAAAATAGTAGCTATATATTCAAGATTTCTATCTAGAATTCTGAAAGCATTGTGTGTGTGTATATATATATATATAAAAGAACTTCGGGAATGTACTATATGCAAGGATAGCTCTTTGTATACTTGAAGGGACTTAAATGGAGGAACATTTTCTTTGTGGAAGCCAACACTTTTTAGATCATTATCCAATGGTGATTCTGCCCCAGAGAAGGCAAAGATTGATGCATTGGTATTAGCACCACCCCAATACTTTGAATTGATCACATATCGTTGTTGAAAAGTGTTGTAGCTTTCAGGCTTATTAGTGAAGCGATCAAGTGTTTGGCTGTAATAAAATGTTTGCAAGTCCTTACCAATTTCTGTTTCCACCAAAGTTCTTCCCATTAATCCCACCCTTGGAGGATCGTACGTTCCCATAGTTTCAATTGATTTACAAAAACTTGATCTGAATCTTCTGAAACTGATAACATCCATACTTACATTATTTGTTTGACTTGGTGTATAAACAAACAATGCAATACACCATAAAATTGTTTTAGCTTCCCTAAAACTATAAAAGATCCATGAAATTTATAATAGAATGTCACTAACAATTGCAAATAAGATACATTAAGTGGTCGGGAGGTTTAGGCCTTTGAGTTTATTTGTAGCAATTTATTGAAAGAGACATGACCTCGGAATTTCATAAGTACTGTAGTAATTAAAAGGTGCCAAAATCTTTGGCTGGCAAGAGCTGTCACTGGAAAGCATCCTAGCTATGATCAATGTACAATAATCTTCTCTTTGAGGACAGAAAATCTATCATTGTCAAATGGCTTTGACGATGAAGTGGGGTTTTGCAGTGGATGTTCTAAAACCATCAAAAACCATCATCATGTAGGCACCATATACTTTAATGAAAGACTTGAAAAAGGTGCACAGGAGCTTGGTTATAGAGGACAGGTGCTCTGAATTTGCAATTTTCAAAGCAATGGCTAGATACTAGATTGTCATGGGAAAGAAGAAAACTTTTAAAAAATCAAATATAATAAAATGTCAAATTGGTCAATAAGATTGATCAGTTTTATGCTTTTTATATCTTTTTCTTTCATATACTCAAGTATGTTTTATTTGGATACTCGGGTATGTCAAATCAACGATTCGGACTAATTTCTCATTATTCAGTTAGATACACAAAACAAATACAGCTATTTAAAAAAATTTCTACATATATAAAGCTTCGAAATCGAAATCACTTGCTTAAACAATTATATCTTCTTCTATTGAACCCAACCCTCTTGGATATGTTCTTTCTACTTATAACACTCATGACAAATGCCCAAATCTTGAAAATATGTGAGGCATGTCTCATGCACCTCTCAAAAATAAAAAATAGAAAATAGAAAATTAAAATGTTCTAGTATTATCATATTGGCCATTAATTCTAGCCTTTCCAAAAAGGTAAATATATATGGTAGATTTGTAACTGTTTTTTTTTTCTTTTTTTGAGCCAAGACATAATCAATATATTTGTTTGCTAGGGAACATATGGAGATCATGCATGATGCCTTTCCTTGAATTTATTTTTCAATAGCTAAAGTCATTATAAATTAGCTTAAAACGTGAGACATTTTGGATTGAAGTTTTAACTTTAAATATTTGTGAATCCCTAATAATTACTCTCTATAATTTAAAATCTTCAACCATATTTTTATTTATATCTATTACAAAATATTTATCTAATCAACTAATTAAAATTCATTTTATAAAACATTGTTTAAATACAATTCTAAAAAAAGTATTTCTAAAAAATATAAACAAAAATGTTTGATATGGTATAATAATTAATAGTATAGAATTAGATAGTTGAAATTGGGTTACATTAAAAAAACTAAAGTCTTGTGGTGGGTGATCCATTCAAAACTTTATAAATTATTCATCTGTTGAATCGTTAAGCCTTTTTAAGACTCTAATATCATATAGAGTTAGATAGTTAAGATTGAATTACGTTTAAAAAACTTAAGCTTTTGATGGGTAACGACTTCTCAACTTTATATATTGCTCATTTATTAATGTTTAACTATTCAGGATATGTACTCTAATAAATAGATCTTTTAATCTATATGAAAAATTAAAAGAGACAATTTTTTTAAGACCAAAATAGTATTACATATCATTAAACATGAAGATTAATTTCTTCCTAAATAAACAAGATGGGAGGATCGATTCAAAACTAGCAATTTCTAATAGGTTTAATTAAGATCATATGAATAAGAAAGCTAAAAAAAATCGTTGAATTAGTACATTGGTTAGTGAATTTCTTCCAATCAAATTAGGTTTGAATTAGTACTACCTATCAAGAATTAAGAACACCATTTCTATATACACATTATAGCTAGGCACCAGCTAGCCAAGTAATTAATTAATTTATAATGGGTCATTGGGTTTGGTCATCAAGGCACTTTTCAATTGCTGATCAAGAGATCCACCACTCAATATATGAACCAGTAAAAAAATACTATGTTAAGCTTATCTCTTTAACTTCCATTTGCTGGAAACTCTCTAGCGAAAGCCAGCTGCTTCATTATTTATTATTAAAATACAGGATAAACCATTGCGTGAGAAGTTCTTACATGGATCAGTGACATGCATGCACAGAATATTTATACACTGTAAAATCATAACTTGGTCACACAATTGTGGGCTACGGCTACGTACTAAGGGAACATACAATAATAATAATGCATACATTAATTACTAAATAAAATTCACTTCGAAATGCAATAATATTGTATCTTCTCGAACGTGCATGAACAAAACCTCTAGAGGGAGAGAACATATAGTTAAAGGGGTTCAAGACAAGTTCAACGGTTCTTGCCACCAGGTCTTCCTTTAGGGTCATGCTTATGGCTAGGTCCTGCTTCATCATAATCCATCACATCCAGCAAAAGCTTCCTTGTATTGATCATTTGGATGCCATCCTTTACAAAAAGACAAGATTTCTTAGGTTATTAAAAAAAATGCATGAAAAAAGATGCTCACTACTTAGAATTCTGATGAAAGTAAGAAATTAAGCATTACAACGTAGAAAAATGTAGAGAAACCCTAAAGGGGCAATATTTTTTATGAAGTCATTGTTATATTAAAGCTTTTAGGCTCCATAGGTATACCTTGTGAAGTGAGTGAAGTTGGTTCATGCCTTCATTGAAGCCTTCAACCAAATCTACAAGAAGTGAAAATAAAAAATAAACACTATTCATTTGTTAAGCTAAATTATCTTAATCTTGAAATGAAATATTAACCTGTAATGCTGAGACAATATAGACTAACCTGAAGAGAACAAGGGAGCAAGGAGTAATAGAGACACTAGAAGAAAGTTCTTGATCCTAAGAGTAAGAGCCATGGCTAAATCTTAATGTTCTTGTTAGGACTGTGGCCTTAGCAAGAGAGGACGAGGAAGGAAGGGGAGGGAAGGCTGGCTTTTATGGTTAGTGGCCGAGAGTGGCATAGGAGCTATGGTGATGGTATGCACCCACCCAATAGCTAGCTACAGAATGATGATGATATGCATTAACTTTTAGCCCACAGGTCTAAGGTCAACTACACTGTTTTTTATGCAACATTAAAAAAAAAAAAATGTAAATGTATGCATGTGTGGACAAAAGCTAAAACAATCTTTTGCATGGCTTGAACTGTTTTAGCCATTTTGAGTTAGAACTTTACACCTTTTTTTAGTATGTATTCGATCTACCTTTCTTTTCAGTATAGCACAAAAGAATTTTGGACAAGCAGAGCATATTACTAATCTCATGTCATCATTTTGGCATTTACTTTAATTTCAACCAATTAATGATCCCTGAAATTCATAGAGTGAAGCTACTGGAAAAACTCTTTGAGGTAAGAACTCTTCTAGTTGATTTGACTACATGACGGAAATCCGAAAGATATCATTTATAGGGAGAAACATTAGTAGATTAATGGAAAGAAACTTTTCATAAAATTGAAGTGTCAAGCGATGTACATATATCACTTATGTCGGTATGAGAATTTTGTATGATGTTATTTTTGAAATATTTATTCTAATTCTTTTACAAATAAATTTAAAAGTGAAGTTATAATTATAATAAACTGCGTGTAAACATATATTCTTGTACATAAATATGACATGAGCGTTTTCATATTTAGAAGTCAAGCTTTAGAATTCACATTTTGAAATTTCAATTTCAAACCAGAAAAACTATATATGGAGTGGAATCTTATAAATAGAAAAGAATTGTCATTTATTGTGTTGCTGGTTTAGTCAGAAAGTCATAAATTTAGTCTCGATTAGTGCTAAAGCTCCCCCAAGCTAAAATACCCCATTATCTATATATATATAAAGAATTATCATCATTATATAGTCCAAAATCCGTTTTGTTAGATGAAAATAAATATGACACACCCATAAATTGGGAGGAATATTTTATTATTTACTAAACCTTTTTCCTAGAATTCTTCCTTCTTTTTTTATTACGAATTCAAAACATTTTAAAACGAAAGAGACCATTAGTAGTAGTTGAGATACAATTTGAGCTAGAGTTTGATTTTAAAATAAATATTTTAATATATCTTTGTATAATAATCTTAAGTTTTCAATCTGTCTCTATGTTTTTAATTGTATTTATTAAATTCTTGAATAATGTTTAAATTCTTTTGATCAATTTTAGGCAAATTTTTTAGCCAAAATTTAATTTTATTATATTATAATGGGCTTGGCCTAAAATTACGAAAGGAAATTTTTAAGAAATAGGTCTGAGGCTTAGCCCATGAATAAGTCTAATGCCGACTGTCTCACTGAAAATTTCAGTGGGAGGCAAGATGGAATGGATTATGTGCCATCTTGTGCACTAACTATTCAGTAGTGGATATTGTTCTTAGTCCATCAATCTCCAAGATCTCATTTTCCGTGGTACCAAACAACACTTAAACAAGCAATGCTTTTGATCCTCATATTTCGGCTTTCATGACCTTTTGAAAAGTCAAAAAAATTAGATGGAGACAAACATGCATTGTGAGTGGCCTACAGATGAAATCAAAGGGAAAGCATTTTGAGAAGTTGGGTTTTGGTGAGGCATTAATTAGTGGGACTAGGAGCACTAGCAAAAGAGGGAACAACACAACCCTTTGAACTCCCAACACTAGTACTAATACTTGTTATTTTATTCATCAATTAAGACCAAAAAGTTCAATTAATCATCCCTCAGGAGACCATATGTTGGTAATGATGGTGTTTATGAGGTTGTAATTGACTCGGAAACTTACTTAAAATTGGTTTTTTGAACCATGTTCTAGGTTGTCGGACTATAAAATTATTGTTCTTATTATTTCACTTTAATAACTAGTTTACATTCGGAAGATACCATACTGTGTATGTTTAAATATCGATATGGTAGTAATCGCCATTAAATGATGAAATACACACCGTACCTTGAACTATCTAGTATTGTTCATTTCAACCATTCTATATAGTTATGATATAAATCAAACTTTATATTATTTAAAGTTATAACTAATCAACCAATTCATCCAACATCTAACCAATCATATAATGACCGACACGTGGTTTATATATAAAAATAGATAGAAAAAATGGTTTGTTCTAATTTGAATAATAAAGAATTTGTTTTGTATCATGCTTAAATAAAAGAGTTAAATAGACAATACTAGATATAATACAAGAGTATATAATGTATTTCACCCTACCATTAAACCATTAAATTTGAATTTGATGAGTTTTATTTTGGTTATTTTGTTCAAATTTAATGGTCGTCAGTGCGACACTGTAAACCTTCTCCATGATTTAACTTCATCGTCGAGATAACAAAATTAGTGGTGGCTAACGAGGAAATTTAAACAGGGTTATTGATTAGAAATGGCCAAATGAGCATTTTTAAAGGAACTTCTATGAAAGAACATCCATGATGGGGAACCAAATAATAAGTAGCAAGAATTATTTTTAAGCCAAGGAAAGGTTTTGATCCTCATTCCTCTCCGACCCCTACAAAAACCATAATGAAACTTATTTGAGCTGTGTGAATTAGGTACACGATTTATGTGCCAATCTCATCGATCGTTGTTAAGAACTAACAATTTTATATTTATATAATATTTTTCATAAAACCATCTTAACTTAATTAAAAAGTTTAAATTTTTTGATGACATATTATGATATAATCTATATTATTTTCCAACGTATTTCTTTAAGTAAAAGTTTTTTAAATTTGAAACTTACACGGGTTCATCATTATTTTATACTTAATTATTTAATCTTAATAATAGAATAGTAATGGTGAGATTCAAATTCGTGACCGTTTGGTCATCAAATCTCTAATATCATATTAAATAACTCTCTCGATTCAAAAACTTAAACTTTTAGACGATGTCTTAAAATATAATTTATATTATTTTCTAATAATATTTATAATTTTTAAAATGTGCTTGTATTAAAACCTTATAATTTGAATACCCTTTTTATCTAATAACAGTACAGCCTTTGTATGAAAATAAATGTACATAATGCATCAAAAATGATAAAAATATTCATCTAAACTCTTATTTCATTATTATTATTATTATTCATTATCTCCTATTTGTCTCTTTCCTCTTTGAATCCCTCTCTTTACAATGGAATAAGTATGCCTAAATAGATCAACCACTCCTGAACTTTAAATCATCCGAGGTTGAATTCATGAATTTTCTTATTAGTTTTGTAGATTCCTAAACTTTTAATTTTTTGAGATTTAGTTCATATAATGATTTTTAGCTATCATCTTCCATTTAAAAAAATTGAATTCTCATTATTTTTTAGATGAAATTTTGCACACATATCGGACAAGATTCGATCTATTTTGTAGAAAGTTTTTAGAATTTTTCAAAATCAAAAACTAATTTTGTTTAATTTTTAACATTAAAAATACAAAAAAAATCATGAAAAATAGAAAATAATCCCGAAATGATTCCAAATTTTTTAGGACTCCACATTAATCTTACTGAATGATTTTTATCATAAAAATATTTATGTAATTGTTATTTTTTCTTCAAATAAATGATAGAAAACTGAATGATGAGTTAAATTTAAAAAAATTAAAAATTCAGATATTTTCAACCAAAAAAAAAAAAAAAAACTTCATAGATTCAGCTTTAAATGACTTAAAATTTAGTGATAGTTAGACCATTTTAGTCAATAAATATTATTAAATATTACTCCTTGAATAACAATAAAATTTTATTTGTATCAGAAATTTTCAAAAAAGATACTTATTTTATCAACTCTAAATTTTAAATCTCATATATATATACACACACACCATGATATGCAAAACGTTGTTTGTGATGATGCATGAGATATGCAGTAGGACTGAAGTTTCAAAAGGTTTGCTTGATGCTAGAAAAACTTTGCATGGTTCCTATCCATTGTCAAATTTCTAAGCAGAAATATCATAAAAATCAAGGCAAGCTTAGCTATTTGAATTTGTGGTGAATATTGAGCAAGAGCCAGAATCCATGAAATAAAATCACTGTCAAAGTGGTAGATACTATTCATTTTGGATGCTTACCCTTTATTATTGTTATTTTTTCTTCTACATATTCATTCAATAATCAATTTTTTTTGTTTTTGACACATGGAATGTTTTTGAAAGATAAGAAAGTGTTAGCCAAGATGGAGGACAAGCAGAAGGAGGAGAAAGAAAATGTGAGAACCCAACCAGATTCATTGCTTTGTTAGATATTGCTGGTGGCAGTCATATCAGAATGGGTCAACTCTGGACTCTGCCACCTTCTCTGAACTACCATTTTGGTGGGGGGTTTTGTTGCGCTCCTACAGCAATATAGGTTGGGTCTTGTTTCACTAGTCAAGTGTTCGTCATCTTCAATCTTTGTTACCTACAACAAATGTTGATAAAATCTCAATTTCAATTTTGTGTTTCAAATCATGCAATGAAAATTAATATATAGGAATGTGTAGAAAATAAATCCATCTAACATGACAAGAACTATATATGTGTGTGTTCGCGTGTGTTTAAATAGTAATGTTGACTGATGTAAAGTTATAATGAAATTAAATTAATCAAATTTCTTTTAAATTTTAATCCATTTAAAAATTAATATTTGAATTTTTAATTTTGAGTTTGACCTCTTTGAACCTTTTTTTTTTTTTTAGATTTAGTTCATCTTTCAGTTTTTTGTCATTTAATTTAAAAAATAATAATCACATAAATAACTTCATAATAAAAATTATTAAATAAGATTTATTTGGAACTCTTTGAAAAAAATTGGAAACATTTCGAATTATTTTTAATTTTTCTCAATTATATTTTTAACGTTAAAAAAATAAAAAACAAATATGCTGTTCAACTTTGAAAATTTACGGGATTTTTTTTAAAAAAATATTTTTTTTCTCGACGTGTGTGTAAGACTTTATATCAAAATACCAAGAATTGAATTTTTTAAAGATAATGAATGATAGCTAAAAATCATAAAATGGCCTAAATAAATAAAAAATAAAAAATAAAATTTTAAATGAACTAAAGTTAAAAAGAGATAGATTTAGCCCTTTTAACCTTTCTGGCATAATCCAACTCTTGGAGGCAGGCTTGGGTCATGGATCATGCTACACTAACTCTCTTTTGAAATGACTTTTCACCTACTATAAGGCCAATTTTGATATGTGCTAAAATAAGAAAAAAGTACAAAAGAAAAGAAGAATTTGAAAAAAAAATATATATATATATATATATATATATATATATATATATATATATATATATATAAAGCAATAATTTAGAGTTTTTTTTTTCTTTTTTGGTAGTTGAATTTGAAAAATACTTTGAACTATGTGACTAAATACATTCTTATTTCATGATAGTTGGTTATAAAGTACTCTTAAAGTTTTAGTCAGACAGAGAAAGTTCTTCAAACATAATTTTTTTATTTAGGTTCCGAAACTTTTTTTTTTTTTTGTCTGAGAATTTTTTACACGTGAGAATCACATGATTCAACAAAAGAACCTCGTTATGCATCATGAAAGAGATATTTCCAGACAAATGAACTGACACCCATCAAATCAAAAAAAAAATTAAATGATAAAAAAAAACCCCAAACCCAAATCAAAATTCGAAGTCCCTAAATCGATTTGTTGTATCGTTCTAAGATCACTGCTAGATAAAGGGCAAGGTAAAAAATCCAATAGAAATAGAAAAGCCAGTGACAAACTAGAGCCTCCTTGCGTGTTTTAGACCAATCTCAAGAAATCATGTTTTTCGAACTGAACGAAGCTTGCAATGGCAAGCAACTCGGTGGTGCTCTTCGTTATCATGCCAATGCAGTAGTGCTGCTACTGTTCTTATGGGAGAAGAACAGTAGCAATTGCAGAAAAATTAAATTTAGAAACTTTTTTCATTTAACCAAACGCTTATAATATTTTATAATAACCAATTAGCTTTTCAGAAAATCTCTTCAGACCAACTCTATGATGTTATTATTGAATGAAAAGTAACAATTCTCAATAAAGATTGATGCGTCAGGATACAGGATTCAGGTGTTGGAAAGCAATCAAGCATCAATTTCAATACTATATTTCTTCCATTTTTCTGTGTACGGATTCAAATTTTAATTTGAAGTAAATATAAAAAACGCAAAATTACAAAATATTGAAGATTCCTTGGTCAATCTCTCTCTCTCTCTCTCTCTCTCTCATTTACATATGCCAACAGACAGGTGAAAGGCTCCTCTGCTTAGTTCATTCTCTGCGGCTTTATCCTGTCTGTATCAAATCAATTGATTTTGTAAAGGTTGAAATAAGAAAAGATAATCTGACGAAGAACTAGATATCAACTCATCTTTTGTATAAATTAATAATATTAATTATCAAATCATTTTTTAATTGGCATTCAAGAAAGATTATGGAACCATAGCAAACTGAATTTTGGTTGAGAAAAATAGCCGTCAACAGTTGAAAACAATTATCTTAATATCTCCTAATATTTTTAGCTCATTTGTTTAAGTTTTAAGGAAAGCTTTCATTAGTGGCAGAAAATACAAGAAATGCTCTAGACGAAATCATTAACAAGATTAGGAAAGGCATCTACATTATGTTAGAAAGTAAAGCCTTAGCACATTCACGATTTTATCTTTGGACAGGAAGGATAACAGAGCTTTCCCTTCGAATTTTAGGACCCAACAGAATTCGTAATGAAGATTGAAGCGCGCCCCAAAACAAAAAAAAACAGAAAAAAAGAACAATAATAATAATCATACACAACATTCATGCCAAAAGGAAAAAGGAAAAAAAAGGAAGAAAAACATGAAAAGGAAACTTCTAATGAAATTTCTAGAGCCAAATAGAAAAAATTCCAGAAACCCCAGAGTGTTGCTTCAAAGATGAAGCAAACAACAAAATACAACCGCAATGCCTCTCAAATTATCAGACATTCAATCCTTACAATGTCACCACAGTTCATGACCAAAATATTACACATTCTGAGGAAGATCAAACCTATATTTGTGAAGACATAAAAAAGGAAGAAAAAAGACGGCAGAGTATATGATTTAATGAATGCAACTATGCAAAATGTATGTAACATTTGACTTGAGACCTACGAAGACGATGAAAACTGGAAAAAAAAAAAAAAGAATAATGCAATGCAGGATTCAATACCCTCAATAATATGTTGAAGACAAAGACCCCCAACCATGTATACCAAAACAGAGCAACAGTTAAAAGTACAACCCGACCATGACAGACATTATGATAAACTGATACAGACATGAATTAAAAAAAAAAAAGAGGAGCAAAAAAAATCAGGAATGAAATCTGGGTCTTCTGTAGTGCAGCACCTAGGTGGTCTTCAAGTGTAACAAAACTTTGACCTGACACATCGCAGAAATCCATCCCAACAACCTAAGGTACTTCAGAGACGAAGACCAAGGCAGTAGGGTAAGTCTGACAAGAAGAGGTCAACCATTTCAAGGAAGAACAAACAGCCAATGACTATAGGTTGACTGACTTGTATTTACTCAGTAAATCAAAAGTTGCCTCTCCCCCATTTCCACCAATTCTATGCTCTATACTCATAATTTATTCGACTTTTTTGACAGACTCCTTCACCCACATCTTCAAAGCAATCCCACCCACTTCTCCTCCATGACAGAATCGAGAACCCAAACTCACCATGCTGACGCAAGAGTTAGTGACATACTGAAGACCGGTGACCTCCATTGTCTGAAAATAGCAGACGACTGATGACCCGACACAAATGCAACCCCGGACCCCGACTCAATACACCCAAATGCATGCAGGGACTTCTAAAAGGAAAGAACATGCCGAATAGCAATAACCTCAAACAGAAATGGCACGACTGATGGCCAACTTGGCCCATTCGGCAGATTCCTTAATCATATGGTCATCAGAAGATAAACATTCATTTAAAAAGTCTTTGCTAGAAAGAGATTGCTGTATCAAAGAACCAGCATTACTTCCCAGTGTATCTGCTAAATCGCCAAGGACTCCAATAGCAGTTTTCATCACCACATCATCCCTGCAGACAGATAGCTTACAAGTCATTAACCAACAAAAAAAAGGTACAAATTTCACACAGCACACAAACAGCGCACACACAAATACATATATGCAAGAATATGATATATCAAAAACAGAAGATAAAAGAGTATATTTCAGAAGAACTCACATGTCTTTCTCCATGTACATGCTATCCAAGAACTGCAGGATGTGAGGTGCATAAGGAATCAAGAGCTGAGTTTTAGGAGAATTCTTGAAACCTTGAAGAATTCCAGAATATGCCTCCAAAATTCCATTTCTCAAAGAATTTGTGTATTCAGTCATTTCGTCATCAGCACCAGCTGTGTGGGCAGACAACTCTGCTGCACTCTGCAGCATGGGCATGGCATACATCAAGTACTTCTCAAAATTCTCTCCTATTGCCAGGGCAATGTCCCCAAAGCTAGAGAAAATGGGAGGCTTCACAGATCTATGCAACTGGTTGCTTGATAAGTCCTTGAGAAGCTGAGTCATGATACCATCACAGTAAGGTAAAATTTTATCTTCCAATGCCCTGCAAATATCCCCTACCACACCAACAGTCACAGCACAGACCTGGTACTCTTCAAAATTCTGAAGGCCCATTTCTAAGTACTTGTAAAACTCTGGCATGTATTTGGCAAAATCCGGACCAGTTGCATAGGCAAGGGCTCCAATGGCCAACATGGCTTCCTCATGCACTGTTGCACTTCTACAAGCGAAAACCCTCAGGAAGAGTGCCATTATCTGGTCTGCATATTGCATGAACACATACTTTGTTGGCTCAGAGGAGCCTAACTTCTGAATTATGACCTGTAAGCAACCACAGAGAAGCCCTTGCAACTCACCCTGCTTCTCTCTTTCATCAGAAGAAAGCTTCTGCCCTTCAAGAGTATTATGAAGCTCCATCATGATGACAGGAACCAATTGCAGCACCATTGGTGCAGTTTCATCAGTTGAGCACCTCACCACCTCATTCAATGTTTCGTATGCAGCAGTCCTTAATCGGGACTCCCCAGCATCCTCTCTGTGGGTGACAGTGAGAAGTGCCTGGACAATTTCCTGGAAGTAAGGAGTAAGGGGAGATGATGGGCTCACCTCTTCGTAACCCTGAGCAAGGAAATAGAGAGCACCACATGCCTTCTCTGCTACATTGGCAACGTCCTTCATGCTCTGAAGTAGTACAGTGACAATTTGTTGGCAATTTGCTTGAGTAATTATTGGTGTATCCACAGTTGAACCATGAAGGAATTCAAATATTCGACCAAGGGTCCAAGCAGTTGTATCCTTCACGTGGTTATGTGGATCCTTTGTCAAAGCAGTCAGCATGAAGTTCAATGCAACATTAACAAGAGGCGTTAGCTTGTCAGGTGAAGGACCCTCCAAGATTGAACCAAATGCATATGTCGCTGCCTCCCTTTGCCTCCAATCTGGTTTTGTAATGTTCTCTTCAATGAATGGCATAACAAGTTGCACAATATCATCTCCCACAGTCCTTGCAACCAAACCAAGGCATGTTCCGCCAGCCATTGCAATATTCCAAGCTCCTTCATCTTGATCCTGGTCCTCCTCTTGCTTAAGGAGAGTCTCCAACAACATAGGTATCAGAGCAGGGAGAGCCTGCTTAATAAAGTAAAAGCAAGGAACATCAGAATCCCCAGTGAAATCACCTCCATATTCTTCCAAGATATCTATCTCCTCGTCACATATTGAACTCCAGAATTCAATTGCTTGAAGAGCTACAGGTTCCTCATCTTCCCTCACAGCCTTTGCCGTGATGTTAAAGATATCTTGAATATAAGGAGCCAACTTCTCATAGTATGTTGATGAGATAGAGACCAAGCACTCAAAAGCAGCCTGTCTTATCTTCAATTCAGGGGACAGAGTTGCCTCACAAACCACTCTCATGATATAATCACGCTCCATATCGTTGCTGAAATTTGCTTGAGCAAATCCTAGTGCATTGTACAGTGCACGAGTTGCAGCAAGCCTAACATCATTGTTTCCTTCAGATGCATTCATGCCCTGAACTACCGCTGTAAGTATCTTGTTTACATGGTCTTGGTCTACAACATCAGGTGAGACTTCCTCACACAAATATCCAAGAGTCTCTAAAGTAGCTTGCTTGACATGAGCAGGTAACTGATGAATATTGGATAAAAGCGATCCTATCAGCTCTGGCCACTGTCTCTGAGGCAACTCGATCCCTGCAATCTTAGCAATAACTTGAGATGCAGTTGACCGTGCATCTGGTACAGGCGAAGCAAGGGTCTTCAACAAACATGCCTTAATTTGACCCTTAACATTGATGTCCAAGGACAACCATCTTTGAACAAGCTCAAGCTTTCTATGCTGTTCCTTTGCATCCAAGGCATTTTTAAGTATTAAACCTGCTAATTTACGGCTATCAACAGGCTTCTCATCATTCGCTAGCTCTCCAGAGAGAGAGAGCAAAAAACCGGGCAGATTTTGCTCCTGAAACTGTTTTAGGCTTTCTTCCGCATGCTTCCGCACATTCCCATCTATAGATTGGGCATTCAATAGCACCTGGGTCACTTCCATCGCCATTTTCTACCTGAAAGAATCAAACTTTCATTAGTCACCCACGCCCAAGCTTCTATAAGTAATTAATCACGTGGCCAATTAGCAAATAAAAATCCATTTCAAAAAGGGATCCGTACCATGATCACTCCAAAAGCCAACAAAAAATAATGAAACCTAGCAAATCCAATCAATAAATGCAAAAAGCTCAAAACTTAATTATTTAGATCACAAAATAATACAACTAAAATCAGTATAATTACACTAAATCTGTGTATTTATTAAACTGCCCAGAATTCATAATCAGTCAAAATTCACTAAAAACAGAGTAGCATCAAAAAAACCCAAAATAATCAAAAACCCAGATCAAATCAGATTCATCAAAGCTTGAAAATTTAATCAAAATTTCAAACAGATTCAATAAACCCAAGTTGATACTAATCATACTGAATCAGCAAAATAAACAAAAAAAATCAGATCCAAATGATCAGATCAAGTGACTAAATCAGTATAATAAACCCTAATTAAGCAAAAAATGAAGCGATTTTGAGAGTGTCTTAAAAGAAAATTCAATTACCTGCAGAGAGTGAGGGACACAGAGAGAGGAACGGCGCTTTGAAACCCTAGGAGAGAGAGTTTTAGAGAGAGAAAAAGAGAGAGAGAAGACGCGGATGTGAAGCTGGATTTGAATAGAACGGCAATCTTAATATCAATTTTACTTTTTTTTTAAAGGGTGTTATCCTCTGCTACAAGTCTTACATTACTTAGTGGGTCCCGCTTGTGGGCCCACAGGTATTTTTTAATTAATTAGAGGGCAAACTACATCTTGGACCCTCTAGTTATACTACAAGTTTTGATTAGGCACCTTGTATATGCTAGTAAAAGCTTATTCTAACTACGAAATTATACATGATAATTATAATTAAGCATTTGGTGACTATGTTAACATTTTAATCTCATGTTTGAATACAAAAGTAGAGGTCGGAATAAAATATTTTATCTTAAATTTAGTATTCTAGATTTTTATGATTTGTTTAAAACGAGATCGTCAAAAGATTTAGTCTTGAAATACAAAAAAATCATCCTAGAATATCATTTACAAAAAACTATCCATTAAATAACACGATTAGGAAAAAATTACTCAAGAATAAATGTATAAAAAAAGTAAATTTTTTGATGTTTTCAAAGTTAGAATTTATTTGTTTTTTTTTTTTTTTGTCATATATGATGGAACTTATAAATTAAAAATTTGAGGAGAAACTGCAATGCATGTATTTATTGATTTATTTATGTTTGAAAACAATAGCTAACATCGATTAAATGGTGTTGAAATAAGAAACTTTTGGTACCTAAAAGAAATATTTGTAATAGTTAGAGGGCTGGAATGTAGTTTGTCCATTGTTAGATAATCAATAGGCAAAGCTTAACCGAGAATAAAAAGTCAGCCTACCTGACGGATATGATTGGCGATTGCAGAATTATTGGGGTTTAGGTATAGTAACTTGGAGTTAGGAGAAAGGAATTTACAGGGTGGGCTCCGGGATTATGTCAGTTTTAGTGAAAGTTATGTGCTGTGATCCCATTGATGAGATTGTTTGATGATGAGGGTATATGTGAATCTGACGGTGGTGGTTGATTTTAGGTGTTTTTGTGGAGTTGTGACTTGGGTCTAGTTGGTTTGATTCATAATCCAACACTTTTGGTTGGCTTATTATTTGGAAATAAAATAAGAATTTTTTTGCACGTTTTTTTTTCAATTTCAAAAAAATGCTAGTATTAGAAAGTACAAATATACATTTTAGAAAATATCTTTTCGTAGGAAATTATTTTTTTTTTCTAATTTTACCATCTAAGAAGGCTCTATAACAATTTACTTTCAAAAAACTATTTTCAATATGTTTGGAGTTTTAACAAATTCGGAAAGGTTAATTCTTGATTTTCATTTAGTACAGACTCATTGTTAAGTATTTTCTTTGACGATACATATTTCATAAGTAAATTATAAATTAGTTTTTTATTTTAGAAAAAAAACGAGTTAATTACTTTTATTTTTAAATTAATTATTTAGTCTTTATATTTTAAAATTTTCCTATAATTTAATTTTTCATTATTTTTCAATTTATTTTTATTTTTTAAGAAATAAAAAATAAGTAAAAATTAATAAAATTTTATTTTTTAAAATAATATAATATTAAATTAAAAGTGATCAATATTGACTAGGCAAGTAGTTTATAATGTATTCAATATTTCAGCCTTTCAAATTTAGCGTTACAAAATTTTAGTCGGAAAAAAAATAAATAAAAATAGAGATATAAATTAGAGGAAAATGGATTTTTTTTTTAATAGCAACGTATAGATTTTATTAATCAAAGAACTTATAGTTTAGTGATAGTGCTCTTTTACAAAAAATCACCGATTGAAATCCTAATAGATTAGTTCCGTTAGAACCTTAGGAGTGTAAGTTTAAAAAAAAACGTCCAGATTTTGGTAATTAAACTGTAATCAATTTGAAATTAAGACTTGAATGACCAAAGCAATCTATCTTGTTTTATTAAATTATTACATAAGTTGTTCAACAATTATTAATTACCAAACCAACTCTACATTATGTTGATTTATTGCATACAACTGTGAAAATTCAGAATATTAACTGTCCAAATAACCCGCTTCATGTAATTTTTTTTTTTTCCAGTTAAAAGGAATGTGTTGAGATTTTTTTTTTTTTCCTTTAAAGATATGAGTGAATAATGTGTGCCAAAAATCCTAGTTGTATGAGTGAGCTCTTGCTCGGATATATGGGTGGTAGTGTTGTTTTTTAGCGCTCTTAATCCTTGTTTCTCTTTTTTTTTTTAAAAAAAAATATATTTATAAGTGATGAAGTATTTTTGAATAAACTTTTACATTAATCAAAATTAAATTCATTACTTCTTAAACAAGACAAATGTTAAATTACTTTTAGTTTTTAACTAATTTTAAAAATCAATTAGTTTAAATCACGTCTAGTTTTTAGTCAATTTTAAAAACTAAATTCTTTAAACACATATTTAATGTTATAGAAAAACCCAAAAATAAGCTTTTCAATTACGAGAATCGAATCTATAACTTTGTGACGAACGAAATACTCTTTTTGCTATTTTATTTACAATCTTGAATAGTCTATTTCTCTAAATGATCCGGAGCTATAACCGCAAACATGAAGCACATGTTGTCAATTAGAGTTAGCTCATACCAAGGATTTGAATTTAAGAACTTTTGATTATAAACAAGATTGGATAAAATTTTGTGATAGGACCATGACCCTATCCTTGATGTTTTACCCTTACTGTCCAAAACAAAAGGTTGATGAGCTTGCTAATTTTGGACGTAGGAAGGAGAAGAGAGTTCATTCCCTAAGTCTCTTTAGGGTAGCCTTGCCTAGCATAAATGCCTAGAATCCTTAGTTTTGGGATTAGACCATATATATATATATGTGAGGAAAAGAGAAAACTTTGAAGTTTATAAATAATTGGTTATCATTTGGGTTTTTTTTTTTTTCCTTTTTTTCACCATCTAATTTCAAATAAACTTTTAGTATGTGTTATCCAAGGTAGATACCATCAATTGGCAAGGCAAAAAGCTGCCAATAAGAGCATGAATGACAATGACAATTGCAAAATGAAAACAACAAATTTCTGGCCTTATGCAGAAACTCCTTCAAGGAAAAGAATGGATAAATCTTTTCTTGTTGGTAAGTAATTTCTATTGGAGTAAATTATAAATTAGTCTTTTTATTTTTTAAAATGAACGAAATAGTCCCTTTAGTTTTAAAAACTAATTAATTAGTCTCTGTATTTTTAAATCTATCCGTAACTTAATCATTTTCGTCATTTTTTAATTTATTTTCATCTTTTGTAATAAATAAAAAATATCAAAGGATTGATAAGAAAAAAAAAACCTGGAGCAAAAAGCATAGTCAATATGGATCAAATGACTAATTAATTAGTTTTAGAAAAAAGGGACTATTTAATTTATTTCAAAAAACAAGAAGGACTCATTTATAATTTATTCTTTTCGCTGTCACATTGATGCTTTTGTTTGCCTCTGGTTTGCCAATGCTATATGGACACCTAGACAGCATTCAAGAGGGCATATTCTTGGGCAGTCATACGAGCTTTTGTAAGGATTGGAAAAATCACCATGTATCAATTTCAAAAGCATAAAACTTTACACGATGGGAGGAACTAACAAAACAAAAGAGACAAACTTTTCATGGAATGCTGCACTGAACATCTAATGGATGATAGAACATTTACAGTTCATCATGGAACTCATCATCGTAATCTTCATCATCTTGGAAAAATGTCCCATAGAATGTATATTCATGATTCAGCATTTCATCTAGAGATAGATAACCATCTCCATCGTCATCAGTCTGGACGAAACAAACGCATGAATCAGAAATTGTTGTTTACATATTTATCAAATAAACAAATAAACGGTTCAAAACTCTCGTGAATTTTAAATTATTTGAAAATCAATTTTTGAAATTTAAATTTTATATTTAACCTCTCTCTAATTATTTTTTAATTTTAATTCAATCATTTTATTAGGTTTTCGTCAATTCTAACATATAAATATAATTTTTTAATAATCACAAGCATGCTTAAAAACTTATTAATGTTTTGTTTTTTATTTCAAAATTTGTTTTTATCCCTTGCAAGTACTAAGAAGCTAGCAATTAAAAGGCATTTTAAATTAAAGGAAAAACTAAGTTTTGAAGAGAAAAAACAAAATATTCATAAGTTTTGAAATATTTTTGGATATTAAGAAAGTTAAAAAATCAACTACTTACAAATCGTGCATACGTACATAGTTAAAATTGATAGAAACCTGATCGAAGATTTCAATTTTAAATAAAAAATTATTAGAAAAGAGTACAATTCAAAATAAGAAATTGAATGACTTATTCTCAAATAATTTAAATTTCAAAAAAAAAAAAAAAAGACCATTTTTTTGGGTTGGTGTGTCAAAGCTGGTCACCCTTAAAACCAATAAAAAAAGATAGGATTATAGGAAGGTGGCCACCATTAAAACCGAAAAAATTCTCAAGAAATGGCAATCATACCTCTTGGATCAGGTAGCTGGTGTAGTGCTTAGCATAGGATAGTTCTCCAGGCTTTAGGTACTGGATCATGGGTATTAATTCTTCCACTGACAAAAAGCTGAAAACAGCACAAGATTTTGAAGTTACATTAGCCAATATCAATACTAATTCATCAAGAAAAGAAAGACGGGGAAATGTCTTAGGCCGGGGGATGAAATAACGTACTTGTCTTTGTTCAAATCAAGCTCAAAAAATTTATCTGGTGCACTGGGAACTCTAGCTACATTAGATTCAAATTCTGCATAACTCTTGTAACTATCATAAGCATACTTAGAGAACTCCGCTAAGTTGAGTTTCCCATCAAGATCGTCATCCATCCTCCTGCATTTGCAAAGGAAGACATGCATTATATACGTATCAAGCTAATGAATTTAAATCTTCAAGGAGTTGGCTTGACAGTACTTAAAGAGATATGTTTCTTCTTTGGTTATTAAGGTTCAAACCTTTAACTACATGTACGAAGTAAAATACTTATGAATCTTTTGTTAAATTATAGATACTAATGTAGATAGAGTTCACATTTAAGGATGCTGCACGTACAATGATGTCAGTAGTCGATTAACGAACGAATGTCAAGGGAACAATGCCCCTTGCAGGAGCTCGGAGGCAGAGCCTTTGAAAAGTTTATAGAATATTAAGTCACGTGTACATGCATATTAGATTTTTTTATTATTATAATCTTGGTTGTTCATGTTATAATAAAGACAACATATTTTTTATATCTATAGCCATCACGTATTAAAATAAAACCCCAATAACGAATTTTAGTGTGTTGTATGATTGTTTTTTTCTTTCTATTCTATTTTATTTCTTAATTCGTTTTCTAACATTTTTACGTTATATGGCATTTTTTATTTGGCCGTATTTAGTCTAAATATATGAAAGCAAGTCTAAAAATACCTTTCACACTGAAACCAAAGAAGCAAAAAAAAGAAAGAAAAAGAATTCTAGGGTTATTTTTTTCTTTGTCAACACCACATGTCATCTTAAATATGGGAATGCCTCATCATCATGGGACTTACTACCCTAGCCAACAATTAAGAAACTATTGACAGGAAGAATTGAGAAATTATGAAACAAGCTTACTTGAGTTTTTCTCTCAAAATCCATTTTTGGATTTCTTCATTCTTACAATCTTCAGGATGCAGGAAACTGCACAACCACGAGGTTTCTATTGATCAGACATTGATGAACAATGTCAAACCCCAAATCAACCACACCACTACAAGAAAAACGCAAATGGAAATACATATTTACTTGTTAAACTCATCGAAATCTAGGGTTCCATTTCGATCCACATCTGCATTTCTAAATTGCTCCATCCACCATCCAGCTTCACCATGCTCCATCTCATTTTTCTCTGTCAAAAATTGAGAAATTATAAAAAGAAAATTCGCATTCATTCGGCAATAACATGTAGCTAGCAAGAATTGATTATGAACATATATATCAAAATTTTTTACCTATATCATCGTTGGAAAATTGAGGAAAATATTCCTTGAAACTAATTGCTCCATCTCCATCCTTATCGCGGGATTGGATTTCTCTCTGTGTCATATAAGCTAATCGATCTCTAGCTTGATCTATATTCCATGCCTCTAGCTCCTCGAAACTGATCAATCCATCCTTAGGTTGCTTGTCTAATAATGGGAACAGAAAAAGCAACCTTAGGGTAATATTTAACCTCCCATCATCACTTAAATACTCACCAGCATCCTCAACCTCTTTGGCATAACTATTTTTATCCAAATCAATCGCATCACCACCCTCGCCGGCGTGCCCCTTTTCCTCGGCGACTCTCTGTATTTTTACAACTAATGGATCAAAATTTGGCATGGAAAGTTTGGAACCAAGACGGCGGTTTAGGGCAGGAGTGGCACGACCATGATTGTTGATCGGAGAAAAGGTTATAAAGACAATAAAGGTGATGGTTATGAGGACATAAGCCACCACCCTTGCCATTTTTGTAGAGGCAAAGGAGCTAGTTGTTAAGTGAATTAGAGAGGATTATTGAATAAACATGTAAGAGAGAAAGGATGGTGATTTTTTTTTTTTTTGGCTCTCATATTTTCTATGGCTTCTCTATTTGGAGGGAAAAACAGTTATTAACGGTTGGTTTGGATAAACCTGCTATGCTCTCCTTTTTTTCTTGCCTCCAAAATAACTTGATACAATTAAGAAGGTTATTTTATCCACGACAACAAAATTATTTTACGGTCAATTTTTAAATTTAGTTTTTTTGTTAGATAATATTTTCAATTTATAAAGTTTCAAAAAATATTTTATAACAACAATTCACTCATAATATTATCCAATTATTTCAACCACTATGACACTTACTGCTACCACTTCAACATTATTACCTCCACCTCGTCATCATTGCAACCTCCATCATTGCAGTTACTATTCCACCACTACTTCATTGTCATTACTACTACACTATCATCGTTATTATCTTTATCCCTACCGCTATTATAAATACTATTACTATTATCGCTATCAGCATTACGGTTACAATATATCATTATCATCATTTTTTTAATCATTATTTATCAAATATTGTAAAACATTTTTTATATATAAAATGATTTAGGGAAAAAAAATCATTTTACATGTAAACTATTGTTGATTGGTAAAATGTTATACTGCACAAAAGCGCACCCTAAATATCGAAATTTTCATTTTTATGCACCTTTTTCTTCAATGACTTTGGTCAACTCTTATGAATTCAAAAACAAAACCCACAAAAATACCATTGAAAAGACCAACGGTGAAGATCGTCCCAACACATAATCCAATTGTGATACGCTAAAATGAAATACAAACTTGGCATCTCGTACAAGAAATGGCAAACCATAATCTATACATAAATCATTTTGAAAAAATGAAAATATTGGCAGAACACAAATTTCAACCATCTATACGGAATTATATATATATATATATATATATATATATATATTTTTTTTTTCTTCTGAAATTTCCATTTCATGAGTAAATTATAAATTAGTTTTTTTAGTTCTGAAAAATGAATTAATGAATCTTTCTTGTTTCAAAAATTAATTATTTAATCGTTTGATCAATACCGATAATACTTAATTTAATATTATTTTATTTCAAAAATATATTTGTTTCTCACCATTTTTTATAATATCTATTTATTTTTAAAATAAAAAACAAAAAAAATAGAAAAGAAAATAAAGTGGACAAAAAAAAAATAGGTTTGAAGAAGAAAGAACTAATTAATTCTTTCCTTAAAACTAGAGGGACTAATCTATAATTTACTCCCATTTTTCCATCGATGACTTTGGTCAACTCCTCTCAAATTCAACCACAGGGCCCACACAAATACCATTGGAAAAAAACCAACGTTGAAGATCGTCCCAACACAAATTCCAAAATGTGATTGGCTAAAACTACTAAAATTAATTTCTCTCGTCTCCTATTGGTCCACCTCATCAACAATGACCTGTTTCCAAAAATAAAAAATAAAAAGTAACCTCCTTCTTTCAACGAAAGCCACATCAAATAGACCTCTTTCTGAATTGTTATTGGTCCACGTCATTCACTATGACATGTTCCTAAGAACTTCAGTTCCACTATAAAAACAGGTCTGGTCGGGTCAGAGAAAATCATCATACGACAACATAAAAAAACAGAGCAAAAGGTTCGAAGAAAGGAGAGAAAGTTGAAGTCTTTTTGTCTTCGAAGTCAAGCGAACATGGGCCTTTCATTGAAGGGTGGAGCAAGGTCTCTTATGGCCTTAGGAATGTTGTTGGGTGAGTGTTCTTCTTTTCTTTATACATGTTGTGTTTTGTCTGGTTTTTAAGATCTTGTTTTTTTTTTTTTTTTTTGAAATGGCATTGAATTACCGCACAACTTGAATGATTCTTAAACTTGTTTTGGTTGAAGTTTTTGTTCTTGAATCAATGGAAGCTACGTATTGATATGGGAGTTTAAACTGTGAACAGGGAGTTTGTTAGCAGTTTCTATAGCAAAAGAGGAAGCCAGCAAGGTGGGGACAGTGATTGGAATTGATCTTGGAACGACATATTCTTGTGTTGGTGTTTACAAAAATGGGCATGTAGAAATCATAGCGAACGATCAAGGTAACCGAATCACCCCATCGTGGGTGGCATTCACTGACAGTGAGAGGTTGATTGGTGAGGCTGCAAAGAATCAAGCAGCTGTTAATCCCGAGAGGACGATCTTCGACGTCAAAAGACTCATAGGAAGAGTGTATGAACTCTCTCTCGTGATTTTACTTTATGCATGTTTATGTGTGTGATGATTGTTATGTGATTGAAATTCGAATCTCTCTGTGTGTTTAGTTTTAGTGACAAAGAGGTTCAAAAGGACATGAAGCTTTTTCCATACAAGATTGTGAACAAGGATGGAAAGCCCTACATTGAAGTCAAGATTAAAGATGGGGAGACCAAGGTTTTCAGTCCTGAGGAGATTAGTGCCATGATTATTTCAAAGATGAAGGAGACAGCCGAGGCATTCCTTGGAAAGAAAATCAAGGATGCTGTTATAACCGTTCCAGGTGAAGTGACAGTGTTTTTCAATTTCAAGGAGAAGTTGATTAGAAATGGGTGAAGTATGCTTGAAAATTGACTTTTGATCTTTTTGAAATCTGCAGCTTACTTCAATGATGCCCAGAGGCAGGCAACGAAGGATGCCGGCGTTATTGCCGGTGTGAACGTTGTGAGGATTATCAATGAACCAACAGCCGCTGCCATAGCCTATGGCTTGGACAAGAAGGGTGGTGAAAAGAACATTCTTGTATTCGACCTTGGTGGTGGTACATTCGATGTCAGTGTTTTGACCATTGATAATGGTGTTTTTGAAGTTCTTGCCACCAATGGAGATACTCATCTGGGAGGCGAGGATTTCGATCAGAGAATCATGGAGTACTTCATTAAGTTGATCAAGAAGAAGCACGGAAAGGACATCAGCAAGGATAACAGAGCTCTTGGAAAGCTAAGGAGAGAATGTGAGCGTGCCAAGAGAGCTTTGAGTAGCCAGCATCAAGTACGGTTGGAGATTGAGTCTCTCTTTGATGGTGTTGATTTCTCCGAACCACTTACCAGAGCTAGGTTCGAAGAGTTGAACAATGACCTATTCAGAAAAACCATGGGACCAGTTAAGAAGGCCATGGAGGATGCTGGATTGGAGAAGCACCAGATTGATGAAATTGTGCTTGTTGGTGGAAGTACCAGAATTCCCAAGGTTCAACAGCTTCTCAAGGACTACTTCGACGGAAAGGAGCCCAACAAGGGTGTGAACCCTGACGAGGCTGTTGCTTACGGTGCTGCTGTTCAAGGAGGCATTTTGAGCGGAGAGGGCGGCGACGAAACCAAAGGTAATTTTTTGGTGAATAAGAAGTTTTCGATCATAATACTGCAAGTTCAATGAATGTAATGTCTTCATTGTTTGATTCAGATATACTTCTGTTGGATGTGGCACCGCTAACTCTCGGTATTGAAACTGTTGGTGGGGTGATGACCAAGTTGATTCCTAGAAACACTGTCATTCCAACTAAGAAGTCCCAAACCTTTACCACTTACCAGGATCAGCAAACAACCGTCACGATTCAGGTATACCATATTTTCTAATGAATGTTAAAGTGTTGCAATCTATTTGCAGAGAGGTATATATGATGTATCTGAAATTAACTGTTGTGATGTGATCATGTACTCTAGGTCTTTGAGGGTGAAAGGAGTCTCACAAAGGATTGTAGGTTGCTTGGGAAATTCGATTTATCTGGAATTCCCCCAGCTCCAAGGTTTGTTCTGCTGCCTATGCCTGATATCTTTAATTCATTTTCATGCTTATTCTTTTGCTTCACAATAGTTCACATGCTTAACTTAGCTTGTTTATTTGAGCAGAGGAACTCCTCAGATTGAAGTGACATTTGAGGTTGATGCCAATGGTATCCTAGCAGTGAAGGCTGAAGACAGGGCCTCAGGAAAATCCGAGAAGATCACCATTACAAACGACAAGGGTAGGCTCAGTCAGGAGGAGATTGAACGGATGGTGCGGGAAGCCGAGGAGTTCGCAGAGGAAGACAAGAAGGTTAAGGAGAAGATTGACGCCCGTAACAGCTTGGAGACCTATGTTTACAACATGAAGAACCAGGTCAATGACAAAGATAAGCTCGCAGACAAGTTAGAGTCTGATGAGAAGGAGAAGATTGTGACCGCCGTTAAGGAGGCCCTCGAGTGGTTAGACGATAATCAAGACGCCGAGAAAGAGGACTATGAGGAGAAGTTGAAGGAGGTGGAAGCTGTATGCAACCCCATAATCACTTCTGTTTATCAGAGATCTGGCGGAGCCCCTGGAGGTGCAGCAGATGGAGAAGCTGAGGATGAATCTAGTGATGAGCTTTAAAGTTTTATTTTTGTCATACATAATGATATGAATGATTGAATATAGGATAGGAAGATGTTTAGTGTAGTTTCTTCAGTTGAAGCAGATAGAGATCACTTCTTACAATTCAAAAAAAAAAAAAAAAAAAAAAGACATTATATTTTCCCCATTTTTGTTGGGAGAAATCGAAATTCATTGGTGCAAGTCATAAACTTTTGTGCTGTGAGCTTCATCTTTCTGCAATTTTTACCACCAGAATAAACTGTCAGAACCCCCACACTTTTTCGAGTAACTAGTGTTCTATGTAGATTTCATTTTCCCAGTTTTCTTTTTAAGATTCAACTCTTATAGTTGTTACAAGAATCAACTTCTATCATTGTTGGAAGACTCTGCACTGAGGAATAGCCTTCTGGACAAGTGGGATTCAGTACTTCAACTGAAATATTAGTCTCAGCTTCAAATTCCATACTATTCACATTCATTAAAATAATAAATAAATAAATAAATAAAGTTTCAATTCCATACTTGGGAAGTATTTGGTCTGAGCAAAGAAAAAGACTTCCCAAGAGTCAACATCGCCCATCCTTAACCTCCTTCAGATATTGCGAAATTATACCAAACCACTCAAGTTTGAAATATGTGAAAAAATATTGCAAAAGCATCATTTCGCATCCAAAATGCCTTCAATTTTTTTTTTAAAAAAAAATTCTTAATTATTAAAGGGTATGGTTTTAAAAGTAATAAGGATATTTTGGATACAAAGTAGGGTTTATATTGTATCTTCAAATTTTTAGATAATCAGGTAAATATATACATCTGTGCTTAAATAATACTCAAAATTTTTCATATATTTTTAAATTTTTAATTATGTCTCATTTATTTATAAAAATATTTAAAATATTCAATATGTCATTTCAATCAATTTTTCCAACCAAATAAAAAAAATAACTGAAATGTAAAAAAAAAAAAAAAAAAAAAATTAAAGGACATTTTAGTTAAAAAAATTACAGTCAGAAAATTTGATTGGAATGATTAAATATTTTAAAAAAAAATTGGAAACAAATGAAATATAATTTAAAACCTAAAAAGAGATATAAGGCTTTAAGTTTTATATGAAGATACATAGATATATTTATCCCACAAATAAATACATTAAAATCATCTTTTGTTGAACATGAATAAAATTATTACTCAACACAAAAGTTGTTTTGAAGCAACATAGCATGTTTAAACAAAAAGACTGGACTCAAAGCAGGGGAAAGCTGTCTTTTCTTTTTAATCATTGTTTTTTGGAAAGTAACAAGGCAGTCAATTTTACAAAGAAAATAGTATTAGCATCATTGTATGTCTGTGCGCCTTTATGGCAAGGAACCCACTTCTGGGAAAATGGCAAGCAAATACAAGATGGTTCCATCTGCGTGTAAGAGATAGAACACAAAAAACAGGATGAGAGCAACAACTGAACTCTAAACCAATCATGTAATGGCGAAAGGCAGCAAAGCATATCGTGCCATTTAACGACCCCCTCTAAACTTGACCTTCATATTCTTTACATAAACTATGGGAAGGGAAGACGAGAGTAAAGATGAGGGACCATGCCATCAGTAAATTTGTTGCTAAGATGAACAATGTTAAAAGGTTATATGTAGCCATATACATCTGCGTAGGGAATTTGTCAAGAAGACTAACTTGAAGGAACCATAAAATAAACAGACGGTCAGTCGGTCTTTGTTTCGGCGGGTTGCAGGCAAGGCCAATCTGACTCACAGATATCACGGGCAGACTGGCCATCATTGTCCTTTGCATCTGTATCTGCATTTTGCTTCACAAGATATTCAGCAATTGCTTCTCTCTCACAGACAGCAGCATAATGCAATGGGGTTTGGCCTTCATTATCCTGCCATTAAAAAAACTTGAACCATTAGCGATAATCATAATAGCAATAAAAAAGGGAAGGAAAAAAAGAAGAAATTGCTCACCCTAAAACACAAAGCAAAATCTTAAAACAAGTTTAATAAAGCTGGTATTCATCCAAAGAATCTATGCACCAAATACTTTTGTTTTTTTTTTTCAGAGGGAAAGAAAGAAGGGCCACTGTCTTATATTAACTGCTTGAAAATGGGACCTAAAATCAACAAATACTAGATAAGTCGGCAATGAACAATCTTTTTTAGGACCTCAACGAAGGATGCACATTTTTAATCTTGAGACAGAAACTTCAGAAATTCAAGCAACAAGTAAAGGGACATTTATTACATTAATTACTTTGAAACTACAAGTGTTCCAATCTGTATTATATCTAGCAAGTGAGAGTATGCTAGTACCAGGGAATTGAGGACCCTTCGAAAGAGATGCCTAAAACATCTACTTTACCTTTGCATTTATGTCAGCATTCTTTCCAACAAGTGCCTCAACAATATTAAGGTGACCACGATCTACAGCCCAATGCAAAGGAGTCCGACCCTCACTATCTGCAGTAATCACAAGGATTTAGAACGTGCTAACATCTCTATGCTAAAACAACATGCAAAAAAGGAAAAAGAGTAGAAAAAAGATGCCTATGTGCCTGTTCTGACACATGCTATAGTTATGGGTATTGTACAGCATTGCCTGACCAACTTCCCTATTGAGAGCTTAACTTGTTATCAAGAAATTCAAATTTTCAGTCCAGTAGCTTTTTAATTACAGGCCTCATATCAGATCAAATTAAAAAGAAAAATTATAAACCTCCAATCAAAAGGTTTTTATGAATGCTGATCTTTCTTAATTACAACAAAACAGTGGCAACTTTTAGTCACATACAACAGTTTTTATTATATTTAACCAGCAAGACAGTCTTAGCAAGCTTCTTAGTTATGCATATGACAGCATCATTGCATGGCACCTGGTATGCTAATGCTCTGGCAAGCATGATAAGCCCGATGATCACTCACTACATGGTGAAAACGTTAGGCATGACATCAATATAATATCATTCACTTATTTCAGTGTCAAAACATTGACCAGGAAAAATAGCAGGCAACAGAGAAACAAACCTTTCAAGTCCACAGAAACACCACCATCAATACATTTGAGCAAATTATTCACTTCTCCTTCTCTGGCAAAGGAATGAATGGCATCCATTTTCCTGAAAATTGGGAACAACGAACCATTAAGCTTGTTTGGGTTGTGCCTATGATTATCATTTAAAAATATACTATTGGGGATAGTACCAATAACATGTTTGTTAAATAGCATATCTACATATTTTAAATTATTGCTAACACCATTCATGCAGGCATGGGCTTCATCATGAGAAATGTCATTATGCCCCTGACATCGTTGCTGTTGCCATGAGGTTGGCACATTTAACCCACCCCTCCCACGCCCCCAGCCCCCAGTCATATTATTAGCACCAAACTGGTAAAAACACAAGGACAGGCAGGCCAAACAATCACCATGTATTGTGTATTTAAGAAAATGTATATGATACTTTTTCACATAAAAGTTGGCAATGGATATAGCACTTTTTATACAGTCCAAGATAACTGCAAACCTGTAAAATGGAGGGATTTAATGCAGGAGAATTTTAGTATAAGAATCAATAAAATGAGATAATAAAGAAAAATACAGTGGATCCATTCAAAAATAAAAAATAAAAAATGACCCTGCCACATGGGAATGGGAGACCTGGAAATGTCTTTCCCCAGTTGTGTGGTTGAAGGAATGTACTATAGTTTAGAGTTTATAAATTGAAATTTTTCAAACACTGATCAAATTAAAAGCACAAAGGCTTGATTAAGTCAATACCAAGCAGGAAAAATTCAAACGAGATCTAATAAATTCATGCATATCCTCAAGCAGGTAGCTCATAAGTCAAGCTATGGCCAAATCCAGTTCATTTTAACAATACTACCTAGCTCTTAAAGCATATTAACACATGATCTTCAATTATACAAGAATTCCAATCACAATGCTGAAATACAGCAATTCTGTCAACCATTTCCTAAATTAGACACCAGTGTTTCAGAACTACCGGATGCAGCACTAAAGCAAAGACTCCAGCACCTCACTTTCAGTAGCACCATCTATTAGACATTCATAATTTTCTCCAAAACACTGACTCATCCCAATGTATGGTACCATTGTAAAGCAGAGTACCTAACTAGGTATAATTACAGTTGACAATGTGTCCTCAAAAAAAAATCTCAAGGATACCTGATCAACATTTTACCAGATATTCCATCAAGACTCACACACAGGAAGAATGGCATGCCATACTACTAGAGCCAGAGCAACATGAAGTTGCACACACTTTCTACATGCATGCTAGCTTACAATCACATGAAGGTCCTGGAGACCACTCTCAGAAAGGAGCTATTTAAGTGATCATATGAAGACCTAAAGATACGCAGATTAAGTAGACCTTCCATATAGAAGAAGTTAAAAGAACCTTACAACTCAGTTCCTGATTCCTCCTCATAGACAAAAGTGCTGAAAACTGGTCCCATAGGTCCTCTGCCATCCGTGTTCTGTCCAACACCATCTCTGCCTCTGCTCTTCTAATCATCCATACAATTACAAAACAACAGAGACAAGTCAAATGAAAGTAAGTACATTTACAGGATCGGAGAAAAGAGAAAGAAAAAAGGTTAAATAAGAAGACTAAACCTCACCACAGCTGAACCAGAAGCCCAAGTAGGATACAGCTCTGTAACAATATCAATGTACTTCTGCATAGCATCTTCTGGTGGCATAGCGCCCAATTTCTGCCATGCTTGCCTGGTACAAATCACCCAAAGATTCAAAATCAATCAGCCACCATACCGTCAGTTACAAAAAAACACAATACTCACCCCCATCAACTATGCTGTAGGAACGGACATACTCATTTTAATGAATAAACAATAAACAAAATAAAATCAAAATATTTTCCAAAGAACTACCAACATATAGCCATAGTTTAAAGTAAATTTCATCAACAGACAGCTGGACATCGCTAGTAAAAACTTGAAGCAAATCCATCTAGTTTCAAATACCTAAGTTTCACCTACCTCAATCAGATCCCACTCATACCCAACTAAATGCACAAACAAACATATCCATTACTCGTCTAAATTAAACTACCTACTTAATTCTCCTTAAAAACAAACAAATAAAAAATTAAATCCATATACTCACCGAAATCCGCCCCACCCACATTACAATCAAATTACATAATAATTACTACAAATTAACCCTAGCTGTTTCCTACGTCCAGTATAAACTTAACTTCCTAATTTAACCACAGTCAAACCTTGATCAAACCCAGATTGCAATTTTAATAAATCCATCATCATTAGACCAACTTCCCACCATATTATTTTACCAAAATGAAAACCCACTAAAAATAATTTAAAAATTACCATTTGGCACGGGCAGTCATTTTGAGAGCAGAAGGAGAAGGACTAGTACAAGGACCTTCAGTAGCAATCTTATAATACCCATAAAGCTGCAACTGCAAATCACTCGATACCTTCAACGAAACCCGATCGGCCGCAGCTGCCGCCACAAATGCCGTCGCCGCACTAAACATTTCATCCAATTCCGTACTCTCCACACCTTCCCAATCATCATCATCATCATCATCACCACCAACATCACTCCCTGACACGCTCTCATTTCGCACACTTCCTTGTTCTGCAACCACCGAGTCAACATCACCATGAGAGTGCTGGTAGTGATAGTCGGTGGTGGTGGTGGTAGTGGTGGCAGGGTCTTTGCTGGCGGTGGTGTCGCTCGATTGGGGTTTTGGAGACGAAGTGCCTCGGGTGATTTGGAGATTGTCGTGTTGGAATGAAACGACGATGGAAATGAGTTTGGCGAGGAGGTAAGAGAAGAGAAGACCTATGAAGATTGATTGGAGAAGGTGTTGCCAGTCTGCCATTGAAATTAGAAGAAATTTAGCAAAACCCTAACCCTAGAATTGATTCTGGATTTTTGAGAGAGTTTGAAATTGGAAAGAGGGATTTCTTTTCTGGGTTCTTGAGAGAGAGTATGTATTTTTGGCGCCTGGCAAATAATTACTGATGATGGTTTTTGTTTTTTTTTTAATCAAAAGCTGATTAAATCCAAATATTTATTAATTTATTTATTTTATGAGATTTGCTATGATTACTTCAAGACATTATTTATTTTTTTAAGACAAACCTTTTTCATTGGAGATTTAAACAAATTATTCATGTACGGATTAATGTATTTTTATTAAAATTTATTTCTCATAATTTTGGATCAAACTCAAGATGATGAAACAAAATTACTCGCCATCTCATTTGACATTTAGAAGCATTATTTTGTATAACATATTTGATAAAATTATTATTATTATTTTATTTTTATGCATATCGAACACCCATAGGCTTTACACCAAATAATAGGATAGTCTCTTCCGTTACATAATCATTAAAAAAAATTAAAATTATTAAAATTCAAACCTTGTTTCGCTAAGATAGTTAACTGAGTAACCGATTGCTATGTTAAAATATATTTTCATGTAAAATATCTTATACAAAAACAAATACTTGCTTAAATATAATTAACATATATGGATTTGACATTTAAAAAAAAGATTAGTTATAATTTTTTATTAGAAGAGACTAATGAAAACAAATTGTTTGTATAATAAAAAAATATAAATAATTTGGTATGAAGAATTTTTCATAATTTATTTATAATATCAATGGTTGTGATTAAAAAAAAAATCAGTATAAAAAGATAAATACAATAATAACCACTAAAATTTTGTGGTTTTTTCATTATACTCATATGTTTAAATTAGATCAAAATAATTAATAGAAATGAGTATGAATAGTAAAACATTAAGTAAATTCTCTCTTTCTTCAATCTTACTAAAAACTTTCTTAATTTTTTTTATTATCATTTATGAAATCCTTTTAAAGGTTTTGCTTTTTTTCTTCCTGCCATCTCAACTTAGGCTCCGTTTGTTTGGCGAGAAAATAACTTTCATAAGAAAATCAATTCCCGAGGAAGCTATTTTCTTGAAAATTATTTTCTAAAAAATATTTTCTCGTCATTTGGCAATTATATGAAAAAACTGTTGAAAAATATATTCTAACTTTTGTTTGATACTTTGATACGAGAAAATTAAAATACAAAGACAATATGTGATTGTTACATCAACAAGTTTTGAGAAAACTTCAAAAAGACATATTGATAATTTCACAATATAATATACATTTAGAAAAATTTAATAAATTTTCATAAATACCGACTCTAAAATTTTAATTCAAAAAACATATAATTTTTTAATAATCAAATCAATCCATCAAAATTACGTAGGACAAAATCAAGTCAATATTCACATTTAGTTAAAATAAAAAAAAATCTAAGCAATCCGAGCATTGTTATTTTGTTAACTCAATTAAGAATTCTTTTTTTCCTTTTATAAATTGAACTAATAATTTAGTCTAAATAATAATTTTATAAATTATTAGTTATCATTTGTAGATAATTATTCATTTGGTTTCAAAAGATTAATGTTGGAATAATTTGTAACTAATTATTCACTACAATTACTAATAAAATTTCATAAGCGATTAAAATTACAAATTATTGATTTAGTTACAAATGAATAGTGTTGGAAAAATAATATATTTATTAATGAATTAATTAATTTTAATTTTTTACAAAACATTACGAGTCTTGTAATAATCATTTAAGTATAGTGTAAGTGGTGTTTGAGATAATACTAAAAAAAATAAAGATAAATTATTGAATAATTATTATAAAAATAATTTTAAGGTGTAAAAATGGTTTTTAAAAATATTTAATATGTCTATAAATCAAAAAATAAAATATCAATAGAATAGAGAAAAAAATTAAATAATAAATAATAATTGATAAGAAATAATCAAATATTAATTTGATATATTTTAAATAAAAAGAAGATAGAGAAAAAATTATTAAAATATATCGAGAGAAAGGTAGATAGCGTGAGACCGAGATAGCTCGTGAGAAGGAAAATGTTTTTCTCTTTTTAAAGTGGGAAAACATTTTTTCAAAAATACTTTATCATTTTTTGTTTATTGGAAATCATTTTTCATCGATTTTTTCTTAAACGCGAAACAAATACTGAAAAATGAGAAAAACAAGTTCCTAAAAACTTGTTTTCCCCTAAACAAAAACAGCCTTAGGAAAATGATTTACTCACAAATTTTTTATATTAAAATTTATTGATATAAATCTCATAACTAATGATTTTTTTTTCCATTGAAACCATACATCATAGTTATCCACAAAATTTAATATATATTATTCATACAAAAAAGAGAGATTATTGACTCGATAGTTTTATTGAAGATGGAACAATTTTTTTTATTTTTCTAAAATTGTCCACGTGTTACTTACTACACACTAAAAATCTTACAATTAGATAACGAAACATCTTCAAACTTAAAGAATTAGATATATAATTATAGAATTTAGTTTAGTTCACTCCAATATTTCACATTATGATAGTAATAGGTATTTTTTGAAAAATTAAATAACTATAAAAGTTGTTAATGTAGGATAAATTAAATGTATTCAAAATAAAATGGCAACAATTTAATTATAAGTATGGCATGCTAACAACATGGTCATGAAATGATAATTTTTCATAACAACTAAATGAATATTTTAATTAAGAGAAAAAAAAAGAATTGGTTAGAAAAGAGAACAAAAAAAAAAAAACTAAAACAAGCATAAAAGAAATCACAGCTTTTCTATTTAACAAAAAGATAAAATAAATAATAAGCCAAATCTGGATGCATGTACGTTAAAATGCTTAGAAAACGACATGTCGTTCACAAGGGGGAAGGTTTTCTTATGTTTCTGTACAGCAAAGGCTAATGCGAGAGATGTAAAGCTTTACATCTGACGGTGGCAAGCATGTCCGGATAGTAGAACTTTACATCTGACGGTGAAAAGCACGTTCGCAAATTAATGTTAATAAAAAAAATATAAATAAAGTGGCATTTAATTTAGTTTAGTTTAGTTTATTTATTTATTTATAACAGATTTTTTTAGAGCCTTTCATTAAAAAAATAATTTCAAAATTAGTAAAATATAAAATTATATATAAGAAAAAATAAGTAAATGAAATCAAAAAATAAATATCGAATAACCAGATGAGTTACTGTTTTCTTTTTAATTTCTCTCGTGCTACATATTAATTTTTTTTGTTTTTATAATGAATCCAGGCATTATAGATGAGAATTATGTAATTAATAAAATATAAAGAAAAGTTATAACTAATCCATGTATTAATTATAGAATTACTTCTTGATGAAGAAAAGTTATAAACAAGAATTAATATGCATTACTTGCCAAGTGGGTAATCCTAAAAGCAAATACAAATACAAATGATAATTAAGATTTGCTAATCCAAGTTCATGAAAATGATTATGATTATACCAATTATAAATTAATTAATAGCATTAGCTTTTACGTACAATCTATGAGCAAATAGCTAAAAGTTCATGCAATAGTAATTTATAGACCTTTTCTCCTGTGATCTGTATGAGATTTTCTAAAGCAGTAGAGATAAAGCCTAAGCATTTCCTCCTAGTTATTGTTATTCTATATCCCTTGAAAAGGGGAAAAGCTGAAAGATCAACACAGATCAGAAGTTGCTCTTCTGACCAGCCAATGCGGTTCTTCATTTGCAAATGATTCACTGCAGGAATTGATGGCTTCAATACTTGCAGTTTCCATAGCCTGCAATATTGGCAAAAGATAGAACAGATTAAACAAAGGAAAAAAATGCACATTTATGGAGATAAATAGCGCAGAAAGAGAAAGAACATACTTGGATCCACATTGGAAATGGCCCCAGTTTGTTCGAAATTGCAATCGTAGACGTTCTTTGCCGTGCCTTGGTAGTACGCGTTCATGGCGAAAGCGGCGTGTGCTCTTACTGTGTTAGGCAGGAAGCATTTGCCACCTTCTTGAATAGGTGCGCAGTACTGCATGTTCAAGCCACAAACATAATCTATGTTTCTCTGCAGAGCCTCCACATCGGCTCCTGTTTTTGGAAGGCACCAGTACTTTTTTCCTTTAGGCCCTTCTGGTCCTGGACTGATCACTGGTGGTGCAGCCACCGGTGCCGTAGAAGGATTCGTGGGAATGGATGATTTAGCCTGCCAAGACAGAGTTTCAGAAGCTGCATATCAATAGGAATTCAACATATGAAATGGTTAGAGATTTAAGTAACATTTAAGTGCTAATAGTAATTAACAGATTAAGCATGCTGTCACCATGGTTATAAATTATTAGAAGGCCGATTGTAAGGACTAAGAAATATGTAACATGGTGGAATTTGCTAGCAGCAGCTACCGTTGGCCTTAGGATTCCAATATCGTACACCGGAGTCATGTCCGGCTGGAACAATCCGAAATTCCTCTCGCAGGTAGGCCCTGGCTTGAGATCTTCATTAAAAAGTGCGAAAATGTAAGTTTCGAATGTCCGGTTCGGCATGAGGGGGTGCCAGCACCGGACGTTACATGCTGCATTAGATTCCTGTTGTATTCAGCTGCACTTTCTGCATCAACACCAACTTGTGATGGGTCTCCCTGTGACGGCCACCCGGTTTCGGCTATGACAATTTCAATATCAGTGAAACCAAGAAGTTTCATCGCTGAAAAGACTGCATCAAGCTGTCCATCTAACATGTTTGTGTAAGAAAGTTTGGTGTTTTCATCAAGCACTCCTGAATTAGGCCTAAATAGTGCATAATCAAGAGTATCAGGAGAGTATCCGAAAAATGGATAAGGGTTTATCATGAATGGTGAATTGGTGGCACGAAGGAAGCTAAGCAATGGTTTAAGAACATGTGTATCGTAGCCTTGTCGAAACTTTCCAGTGGATGGTGGGCTTGAACTTGAGAGAATGCCTAAAGAGTGAGGGGTAGAGATTTTGATTCTACGGTCTAATGATGCACCAACTAAAGCTGTATGAAGAGTTTGCATGGCTGGAACCAAGCTTCCTACTAACAATTTGTTCGTTGTTGATATTACTTCATTTCCTACCAAAATTCGGACGATGTTGGTAGCCGGCACATAAGGCTGGACATTGGATTTTAGCCATTCTTGTGCAAAACCAAGCTTGGTAAGGTGAGGGATTTGATCATTTGGGACAGAGATTGTGACTGCAATGCCTGTGTGAGCGAAGGCTCGTAGAATTTCGGCGTTGGCATCGAAGAGCCTAACGTGGTTGATAATGGTCGATTCTAAAAGAAAATGGGCTACTTGTGCTGGTGGAGGCAGGTTGTTAGCCACCGTGCCATAGTTGACACCAATACTTCCTTCCACTCCTGCCAAAACAGCAACATTGATCATTAGTCATACATGAAATTACAAGCTCATCTAATTACAACGAGGAAGAGAACTGTTCATACCTAGAATATTGAAAATGCAGACAAGAAGCAAAATAGTGGTGATTGTTGAAGCAGAAAATCTAGCAAAGGCTTTCTCCATGGTTGTGGTGAGGAGAGGTGAAGATTGCGAATTGTACTGCATGGAGAACAGCCATGCACCGTTCAAGAAGTGGACTTGAGATGCCTTTCTTTCTTGGTAGGGGAGGTTTTTGTGCTGTTTTTTTTTTGTGTTGTGCGAGTGAGAGAACTTTTTAGCTGTTGCATCTGCTTGCTGCTTAAGATGAATCTTAGAATTTTAGCTTTAATTGCCTTCGAATCTTGATCCATATCAGTTTCTGATTTGGTCCAAGCTAAAATAAAATTGAGCTAATTAAGCTTTGTAAAGTCATGATTAAAGGTATATAACCAATGGATCACTAGGTTAGTAGGGTATTTTGCACAGGAAAAGGGAATGGATTTTGAGTTCAAATCTTATCATTACTAATAAAATTAACAAAACATCACACACAGGAATTGTATAGTAAATTGCTTGCTGGATTTGCTGATTCATCTAAAGCTATAGTGTAAGAATAGGGTTTGCTAGTCACAAATTGCTTTACTTAGACAGGCAGGTAAGAATATACCTTTACTTACCAAAATGGAGAAGGTATAGCACTAGAAAAGCTTTCCAAGCATTCTGATGGAAGTAACTTTGTATCTAGAAGGCTTTTTCTGCCTTCTCCTCCCCAATTTGAAAAGAAAGAAGAAAATAAAAAAACCATTTTTGGGTTAGGATTTGAAACAGCTGAGCTTACTAATTTTTAAGGGTTCATCATTTCTTTGGTTATTTCTTGTGTATGATAAAAGTACAGAAATGTTTAAAAATCTCAAGCAAAAATGATTCAATCTAGCATTAATTAATTAATTAATTAAAGATGGAAACTCAAGAAGTTTATCTCCATATATCTGCATCAAAATTTGCATTGCTTCAAGTATATTTTGTCTTGCAAAAATGTTGCATCCACTTACCAGAATACATCTTATCTCAGAACACAGATATTTGATTCAGGAATCGAATGCGCAGGACCACACTGCATTCTTCTGTTTGATTCAGGAATGGAAAGCAAAGGATCACATCGCATTCTCATGTTTGATCGATTTGGTAAGTGTAATACTATCTTAGGCCGGTGGCCATGTTTTTGAGACAAGATCCAAACAATGTTTTTTCAACCACCCACAATTTGTACCTGTCAGAATTAAACTCAAATGCCCTTGTTTCATGAGCTGTAATATTTTGGAATTGAGCTCTCTTTCTGTACATAGATTTACTACTCTGTTCATGTCAAGATCATACACATGCTCACGTTAATCTCACGATCGAAAAGTTTCATAAAAATCAACAGTGAGTCCTTTACAGACTTCTATCCAATTAAAGAAAAGAAATAAAACCAAAAACAACGAATTATTCTATATAGATATGATGAAGATTGCAGGTGTGTGCATGATTTTCCTTATGTTTTATGCATGTTAAATGCAGATATAGTAATGTTATCTAGGAACTAATTTCGTTTAATGATTATTCTTTTTATACACTTGGAGCCTTTGATCTTCTTTATGTTTCAGAACCTGTGAAAAAAAAAAACAACACCAGCAGCAGCAGAAAGAACAACAACATAAGCAAAGTAAACATCCATTTAATTACTTTCTTAATTAGGGTTTATGACCCTTTTCATCTTGTGTATCAAGAATCATTCTAAGTGTCAAGAACAAGTTAGTTAAAGGCAAGAGAATAAAATTTATGAAGGTACTTGATCTTTGCTTGAATTTCAATCTATGAAAAGCTAATCTAAACTTAATTAACCAGACTAATTAAAATTGAACACAGTAATCTAGTTTTGGAATAACTGGTTTTTCAAGTTATTCCTACTAAAGTGATGATTTAAAATTGATGTGGAAACTGTGACCAAAATTTGGAACAAAAATATCAGTTATCAATAGTTATATAATGATAAAATGTTTACATGCATAAAAGTTATGCTTGAGTTTAACTGATCAAGCTTGAATAGAGCTTTAATTATCAGCTGATGATCATCTTATTAGAATTAAAATGCATCAATCAAGGTTGCAAGGCCATGGAGAGAATTTCTGGCTGGAAAATACAAAAAGCAAAAAAGCAATCACATTCTCATCAAAATGAAAACGTACAGCTCTCATAGCAGCAGATCATACTCTCATCAAAAGCAGCAAAGGTTTAACATTTTGCAGCTACAAGTACACCATCAGCATATGTCCATAGTAAGTCCAGAACAGGAGCCAGAAATGAGCAGACCATGTAAAGCACCACTGAACTCAGTAACTAGGCATCAGCAGCAGAAGCATGCAAAGAGAAAACATCCCAGGACAATCTTGAGAGTTCTTCAGGAAGAAAGATAGAATTGGAGGTGGAACCAAAATGAGATCTCATGGAGACACGATTAAGGATCATAACAAAACTCAAGTCGGCCTGTCCATCCACCAGAACGAGAAAGGCACATGTGAATCAGTGGATCAAGTCTTGATCATCAGAGAAGACAGTTCTGGCAAGTGAGATTCTAGCCATTTTGAGAATTCAGCACATGCGATCAGAAGCAGAAGGAGTTCCACACACACACACACACACACACACACATATATATATGAAAGCACGGCTAACTTCAATTCGGGACATCAGGCTGAAATCTCATGGAAAATGCTTAACCAGTCCATCAGATTTCAACAAGACTAGCTAACCATGATCCCTGTGACAAACTTGATTGAAACAAAACAAAAGTACCAGCCATGATCAGGAGCAATCATCATCACAGGAACAGGCATTAATTGTGCGTATAGATGGACCACGGGAAGGGGGAAATTAAAGGGGCAGGAAGGAGAGAGAAGCCACCTATATATACACCCCCAATAGATTCCTTGCCAAGATCGATAAATCCACTATAGCAACTAAAAATCAAAAGAAAATACAGGAAAAAAGAATTAAATAGGAAAACCCTAAACCTTGTTTTATTTGCTACAGAACTCAGGTGAGCACAGATCAGAAAACCTTGGCATTTGTGGCTAAGAAGAAAAGCACGGCAACTTAACTGATAAACTTTGAGCAAGCAGTAACTCCCTTTTGAAGCAAGATCCCGGTGCAAAAATAACCTCTTCTAACATTGCTTGCTCAAATGAGCATCTCAGAAACAGTAGCATACCAGCAACATCATATATAGCCATACAAGGCAAAAAAACATATGTTCTTGTTGCATAAGGCTACTGCTGTTGGAATACTCATTTGAGCAAGAAACATTAAAAAGACGCCTAGCTCCAACTCTCTCTCTCTCTCTCCCAGATTTCTCCCTTTCTCATCACCTGTGCTTCCACAAGTTGCTATGACCATTTAGAATCCAGGCATATCGCTATAAATACAAAACCTGGTTGCATGGAACTGAAGCAAAATTACCACAAAACACTTTTTGTTGCTAAGAAAACGACAAGTTACGAAGGACACCAACCCCAACTTGAATGACCGCACGACTGATTCCCAAGGGTAGCTTGGGTCCATTCTTGCTGCAGACATGGGTAGTTACATAAATAAAAGTAGAAAATAGTGACAGCTGAGAGTTACTTTCGTCAATAGTTGGTTGGAGTTAAAGAAGAAAGACTGGGGCAAGAAAAATAGTTGTAGGATAGCGTAAATTAATTTGTTGAGACTTGACAGTCAATTTAAAAATAAAATACAGAAAGGAATTGTAGTTGATCATGGAATGGCAGTTCAGCTGCAACGTTTTGAGCTCAACAACCATTAACATGTTTCCACTCCTTTTATATGGCATCGGACATGAACTGCTGGTAGACTAAAAAAACTAGTTCTTAAAATCAATAAAAAAATTCGACATAATCTAGTATCGATGTAAATCAAAATATAATAAATTTAATCTCGCCAATATTCTATTATTATTATTAAATATTAAAAAAAAAAAAAAAACATAAGCATGAGCAATGCAGGATAACAAGTTCTATTTTTGGAAGCCATCATTCCGAATTTCAAACATTTATGCAATAATTGTATGAAGAAATAGTGGACATGGATAAGAAATTTTGGAGTTCTGTTCAATAAAATTATGTTACTGTTGGCCTCACAGAGTTACTAGCTATGCCTAAGAGAAAGGCTATTTGTCCATAGTTTTTTTTAGACTTGTTTATTCCACTGGCCTGAGATTCTGTCAGATTTATCTTTTCCTTTGTTTACGACTAGAAAACAAAACTTTAACTGGGTGAGTATTTTTTTAATAAAAAGATAGGATTTCCATGTGTCAAGTTAAAAATTAATGCCTAATTTTCGAATACTAGACTTATGAATTTGAAGAAAATGAACTAGAAATACAAAACTTTAAAGAGTCAATTTCTGAAAATTTCAAATTGCTAAATCAGTCCTTGATCAGATTAATTTAAAAAGAAAAAGGTATTAATTTGCATGATAATCATTATGTAACACCCTAAATAAATTTTCATATTTTGCATGTATATGCTTGTGTTTTTATGTTTTGATTTTATATTATTGAATAGATTTAAGGATATGGATGAGTCTTATTGAAAGTTAGAGGGCCACTTTAAAAATTAGATATAATTATAGAGACCATATTGTAATTTTCCATTCCTTATTAATGCCTTTGTTGGAACCATACGGGTTCCATCCTTTTCTCTCCCTTCCCACTTTTTCTTTCCCTTTTCTTCTTTTCCATAAACCAACCAAGCACTCCCTTCCTCCGTACTTGTTTTCTAACCTTTCTCAACACCAAACAATCTTGAATTATGATAATTTATGATGATTAAAGTGGATTTTAAGCAAAATTGGAGCTTGAGGAGTTGTTGTTCTATAGGTTAATTTTGAACCCAAAAAAAAAAAAAAAAAAGAGAGAAAGGTATATTCTTACCATAATTTCTAGTTATTTGAGGTATTTTTGGATATTATATGGTGTTTTTGAGATTGGTTTATGATGGGTTTGTCTTTTGAAATGATATTGATGAGTCTATTGAAGTGATATTGATAAAGTTAGGACTAATACCTAAAATTTTGAAGAAAAATTGATTAAGTGGTTTTAATGGATTAACTAATGATTGTTTTTCTTTGGGCTTGTGTTTTATTAA